ACACCACATGTCAAACGACAAGTCAGTGGGTGCACACAGTGCTACAAGTGCATTGCCTTCCTTTTCCACTTTTCATGATGTGATAAGTAGAGTCACTATGCACTTCTAAATTGAACGTGCTTTATTAACATTTTCTCTAGAACTTTTTCAAGTCTAGACAAGCAATACAACAATAAACCCAAATGGAGCTGTAGCATTTGCAAATCCCCATGGTGTAAATATTCCCAGCATGCTCAGCTGCTAATGTGAACATGACACGAAGTTGGGAAGAGATGCCTCTTCATACTAGGTCCAGCAGAGATACGAGGTAAATAACCTCACCAACATAAATAATAGTACACTAATTAGGAAGTGATGTGTTTCAGCATTCATGGTCTTTGTTTTGACAGAACGTAAAGGTATGTTTATATAATTTATTTTTAACAATGCTGTGTTTAACATCCAGATTGCAAAATTCCTGATAATGTAACAACCAGGTGCTGCAGCGTGGCACAAACCACTTCAGCGTACCACCACCCCTTTCTCTAACACTGTGAAGTTAATTTCTTAATGGTTTCTCCCTAATCAGTTGCAGAAGAGATAGTCAAACTAAGATCCACCAGGTTCTCCAGCCCTGCTGTGCTCACCCCGCTGCATTAATTCCCCCAAAGCAATACTTTTGGCCCTGGTGTAAAATCTGAACACTGAGTAGATCTCTGAGCGACGATGCCAATTAAAACTCTGGCCACCAGATGGCGCGCAGGTCAGCCTCCTCCATGGGAAAACTGCTTACTCAAAATTTAAGGTGGAAAAGCTCTCGAATCACTGTTTGGATCCCCTTGTTTGACACATAGGAAAACTTATAATAGCATTTAAGAATGTCTGTGCAATTCACCAGGAGGGTGAATTTATATTTTCCCTCTAATTTTCTATTACTTACAAGTAATAGTAAAGCATCAGTTCAAGAGTCACGCCTTCAAGTGTATTGATTCATTTATTCCACATATAAAGATCCATGCAGTGTAAGTGAGAACCCTCCACTTTTCTAGAAGATTCTCATTCATTCTTCAATCCAGTTGCTTCATAAACATTGAGCACTTGCTGTGATCCTGCCCGTGTAAATGGCAGCATCAAGAGTTTCTCTCACAAAATTCAACTCTCTCGTTCTCTTCAAGATTGCAAATATCTGAGTTGTTCTTACTTTTATCAACAGCCCCCACCAAAAAAACCAAACTTTTGTTGAATTTTATTGGAATTACCATGAAAGCTGTTTGACAACTTCGCCTGTGCGACCCATCTTTCCCACCTGTGAAGTCTCTCACATTCACCTGGACCCCTCACTTTGCAGATTGTCGATTATCTGAGGAATACATGAGGCTCCCACCATCAGTGATTGCCAGTGAGCATGGATCATCTGTCTGGAACCCTCTGGGGTTTTTGCTGCCATTATTGATAGGATTGCACACACAATTTTACAAGTGAGGGAGGAATACCGAATGATGCTAGAGAAAAGCCCATGTAATGAAGACACAGGACACACAGACAGGGTGCAAAAACTCTATCATGTTGAACCAAAGACCTGGGTGGCAGTTCTGAGTAAGAGCAACGAGACTGGAGACAGCGCACCCCCTGATGTCGAGTTACCTTACAGGGCCTGGTGCACACTGCTGATGAAGACACATGTTGACCAGCCATCAGGGAAAGTGGTGTGGAGGCTCCTCCAAAAACTAAAACTAGAACCAGCAGTAACCATAAGGGAAATGGAACCAGTCTGTCGAAGAGACATCTGCACTGCCATGCTCCTTGCAGCCTAATGCACAATAACCAAACTATGGGAGCATGCTAAGTCTGTAGCCAGATAAACAGAGAAAGAAACTGTGATGTCTACATAACGGAGTATTTTTCAAAAGGAAGGAAATCCTCCCATTTGTGACAGCACAGATGGACCTGGTAGATGTTATGGTGGATGAATAAGCCAGATACCAACGAAATACTGCTTGATCTCAATTATGTGGAATCTAAAATCAGATTCATAGAAGCAGAGAGTAAAGTGGTGATTCCCAGGAGCAAGGCTGCACAGGGGGAATGAGGATTCAAAGCTTCAGTTACCAAGATTTATTAAAAAAAAAAAAGTCTGGAGAACACACAGCCTAATCCTTCAGCCAGTAATACTGTGTTGTGTATTTAAAATTTGCAAAAAGGGCAAATCTTATGTTAAATATTCTTACCAAGAAACAATAATGAATGGAGCAGGAGAAACTTTGGGAGGTGATGGACCTATTTATGGATTTGATGGTGTTAGTTTCAAGTGTACACTTATCCCCAACTCATTAAGATGTACAAACTAGCTTGGCATTGTGGCGCACACCTGTAATCCAAACTAATCAGGAGGCAGAGATCAGAAGAATTGTGGTTTGAAGCCAGCTTGGGCAAATACTTTGCGAGACCCTATCTCAAAAAATCCATCACAAAAATGGGCTGGTAGAGTGGCTAAAGGTGTAGGCCCTGAGTTCAAGGCCTAGTACTGCAAAAAAGGAAAAAAGGTCTTTGCATATTAATCACATCTCAAAGCAGTAAAAAGATTCAGCATGATGAGGACAGTGTTCTTACCACAGTGTCCAAGACCCATGTGACTGTGGCACTTGTTCATCTCACCATCACTTCTCTGTCCTTTCCTCCCCCTTGTTCCCAGCTCAGGACCTTTGCACTTACTATTCCTTCTGTCAGGAATCCTCTTCCCCAGATACCCACATGACAGGCTCCTTCACTTTCCTTGGGCCTCTGATCTCATCACCTAACCAGAGTTGCCTCCTCAAATCAGTCTGAAATGTATCCCCAGCTCCATCCCTTACTCCCTGTGTCCCCACTGTCCCCCGTCCCTGCTTGTCTTTGTAACACTTGTGATCGTTTGTGATCATCTGTTTATGCTTTTGCTCATTTTCTGTTCCCTGCCAGTGGAATGCTGTTAACAAGAGAATGGCAACTTTAGGTTTTGCTGTTATATTCCAACCCCTCCATGAATAAGTATGTTAAAACGAAGTTCTACCTGATAGCATGTACTCAAGAATAAGTCAATGAATAAAAGACAGATGTCCTTTCTAAACTCACAGCATGGAAGCAAACCGAAGAGTTCCCTTGGATGGCAGGAACTCGATCTCCTTACTGAATTTTTTTCCAGTACTTGAATGAGTCCCCAGTAGATGTAGTGGGAGCTGTGAAAAGAGCTGGGTTCACCAGGAAAGTTACCAACACAAGAATCAGGGTAGTGCCCAGGATGGTCTGAGGTGACGCCAATAAATAATAAAATGAAGGGAAATTAACAGTATGATTTTTAATTTGGTGCCTTAAGCAAGTATCCTGTGACCTCATTGACATGGTCAAAGGTTTATCAGTAGCCCAGTCGCTGCTGTTGAAGCACGCAGTGGGTCGTGATTTGTGATCTTACAATGCCAAGCTCATCTGTTACTTCTGCTGGCTCTCAGTACATGGAATTCTTACAAAGAAGTTGATCCTCCTCCTTTAAAATGTGATTTCCAACAAACAGAAACAAAACAGGGAGAATTATTGTATTCGATGAAGTAATTAGTTTGGACTAATTAGTAATTAGAAGAGCCCTTGACATCATCCAGACCAGTTGGGTTTGTGCTTGTATTGTTTTGTTTTGCTTTGGGCCAACTGGACCTTTAACCAGAAGAAATCTTGGAAGGAGATCAATGGGAAACAAACCCTAGTAATGTTACTCAGGAACTTGGAATCGAGAGCTAGAAACCAGGCTCCCAGCCCCCAGGCTCCTTGGGGTTCTCAAGGGGAGGACCAGGGATTCCTCAGAGCATAGTTTAAAACATGGATTCTGTCCAAGATGGTTGTTTTGAAGATGAGGTGTGACCTACTTGGCCACTCTGGTAAAAGTTCAGCTTTCTATTGTAAGAGACAGACACCTCCCAGGACTTCTCCCACTGCCCTACAAATAACTTCTCTTACCACCTCACTTTCGCTGGTGAGTGAACACAGCTTCCCCCTGAGGGAGGACACCCCGACACTCCAGTCCTCCACATATCACTGTAGCGCCACTCCCCTCTGCACTGGAAATTCTCGAGTTTTGGGTGGTATTTTCAATGCATGTCCATGCACTTATGTATGAACCCCTCAGTGTCAGGAACAATATCTGTCATCTTCACCACTGTGCCCCAGAGCCTGGACCTTGGCCTGTAAGTAGCGGGGGCGATCCTGGTGCATTTGACTTTCTGTCCCCAGCGCATGGTACAATGCTGAGCTCAGAGTAGCAACTCAGTAATTACCTTTGAATTGAATTGTGGAAATAAAACTACCTAGAAGTCAAAAAAATCTGTTCCATATTCCTTTCAGGCTCTTTCTAGGCTTAGTTGGTTTTGAAATGTTGTTCTACCTAGTTTGTTCTTAGTTTATGTTCATCCATAAAATAAAGGTGGCCATCGATTCTGGGGTTTTCCAAAACCCGTCTATCTTGCAAATTCTTTGATGCTATTTTCCTCTACTTAGAAATAACCTCAAGAAAGTGCTAGGAAGAACTTGAATTAATTATATACATATGTATAAAATCAACATATATAACTAAATATTATCTATTCACTATATCTTCCCTCATTGTTTCTTGACCAATGCATTTCTTCCTTATTTACTATTAAATAAGATTAATTATTGTAATTAAACATAGCTAGGTTAACTCTAAACAGAGGCCAGTGACTATAAGGAAGCCTAAAAAGTCACACTCCGTGTAATGACTTCTTCATTCTACTATTTTCTGACTGAGCAACTGTAGGTAAGATATTCAATGTCCCCGTGCTCCGATTCTTCATTAACAGAACAAGGGTGAGGTTTAATAGACCCTAAAACGAAAGTGCGTAGGACCATGCTGGGTGCAACAAGTATTAACTGGCACTGTCATCAGTTTTATTAAAATAAGAGTGATTTCCATAGACGCATGTATAAAAACTGTTTGGTCCCGTTCTCCTTACTCACTGGCCATCTCTCTCATGTTTCAGGGGGCAAATCCACAAAAGGAAACAAGGTAAGAGAAAACTTCAAAATGAATTTGTTCCCACTCTTTATTTTAAAAGCACAGAAATGTGGACAACATGAAATGTGGCTTCAAAAATATGTCCTAGAACCTTAAGTCACAATTTTCCATTTCAATTTATAAACCAATGTCATTAAGCTTTGGCCCTGCCCAAAGAGTAATAAACTTAATTTCTCGTTCTCTTTCCTTTTGCAGACTCCCTTACCACCTCCTCGGTAAGACATGTAAAATTTTATTTATTTTGACATGTAGTTAAATTATTTGTGCCAACACCTGAAAAAAGAGAAGCACAAACATTTGACAATTGAAAATGAATACAAGTTGTCCAAAGAAAGACTGAGCAAGCCTTCGTTCATTCGTCTCATCACTGTCCCACTCACAGTTACATAGTGAGTACACCTTCCTCTTCATTTCTTTCTGAAAGTATTTTCCCTGTCCCTTCCTCTTTCTCTCCTTTCTTTTAGTGCAAAAATCTGCAAGGTCATAAGATGACTATATCTAGCATGCCCAAATGCTCATGAAACTGGGATATACCCAATACAAACAAATCAGTAAGTCCACAATCAATCAGCTAGTCACCAGACAAGGATGTGTGTGTTTAAACTGACTTACAGTTGAAGTCAGTGGACTTTGAGGCTGTGTGGAGCCAGTCATTGCTGTACCCAGCTTGTGCATCCCTCTGCCATCACATTCATTACAGTCTGTGGCCCTTCGCTTCCCTCTTCCCCCCCAGAGGGAAGCCCCTTGAGCCAAGGATGGCTTCTTTTCCTCTCTGCATCTCCAGCACCTACTGAGGTGTCTGATACACTTCATGAATGAAAGAGCAAATGGCTGACTATAATGGGTGAATGAGGCATTCACTGACTTCAAACACCTTTATGTTTCTTTGGGGAGTACTAAAAACTCAGATCTTAGAAGATCTGGGATAAATGGAAGGCCGTTATTCTATTTTCCCACGGCCTCCTAAAACCAAAATGAGCAGCGTATTGAAAAGCATATGACACCCTGTAGAAAATTCTGTCATCCTACAGAGCATCATGCCTGATCAAAGAGCATATTATAAGAAGGGACATTTAGATTCACTAGAGGAGTCAACATGCTGAGGTTTGAAGCTTCCAGAAATGGGTCAGCTGCTCTGCAACGCAGTGAGCTCCCCAATGCTGAAGTCTCTGACCCAAAGCTGGGGACAGGGAGAGTGAGGCACAGTGAATTTGGGGTCTGAGGAGCAGCTGCCCTGCAGATCTGCTCAGGGTTCTTCACTCTCCCCACTGGGCTCTTCACACAGGCCTCCTGTCCCCCTCCCAAAGAAGTACCAGCCCTTACCCCTGGAACCGCCAGAGAGCAGAACATCTTGCCCTCAGAGACAAATTGTTCCAGAAGCCCTGACAGGGACCAGGTGAGAGACTTGTCATTGCCACTGGTGAAATGACAGAGGAGTGGTGGGTGGGGGAGGGGCATGAGGGAAAGAAGCCAAAGGAGTCCCCTCTCTGAAGGACCTCCATGGGGTGGCAGGGCTGATTATACTGGAGGGAAAATAGTCTTGGAAACCTGCAGTTTATTTCTAGGCCTGAGTCAATTTTGCATAAACTGCTAAGTGCCAGGAGAGAACCAGGACACTGTGTGTAAAAGCCAAAGGGGTTCAGACTGCCTGTCCTGGGACCAATTGGTCCCAGCTTCCTGTCACCCAGGCTGGAGAACATTACCATAGTTTAAAACCCTTCTATCCAAATCAACACTGCATTTCTGACAAAAGAATGTTTGAAACCACCCCTCTGGTCTCAAGGGTGGATGCGTCCCCACTGCCCAAATATGTGGCAGCTGGCTTTAATCACAAAATGTGACTAACTCGAATGAGCATATTTTTCCCCCAAGAGAGTTTGAGTTTCCCAGTTGCCTGACTCTGGAAATCGTCACAGAGGTTGGCATCGACTATTCTTCCCATGGGATGAGCGGTGCCTTCTGCAGCTTGAGGCAGCCGGCGGGAATTACTTGGGAAGCCTTCCTCTGGGTTCCAGGAACTCAGGCTCCTGGGCCCATTCTGAGCTTCAGTGGGAAACCTGTGCACCACTGTTCTGACAGGGTGTGGGGGGGTGGACATTAAAGGCATTTTGAGAGGCTCAGAAGCCATTTATCCCTCCTAATTGTCTGGTGAAAGTCTCTCTGTGTTGTCACCCTTTACAGCCCCACACAAACATCTGCCTTCCTGTTCTCTCTTCCATGCAATGCCCTCCATCTAGCCCCTCCTCTCCAGCCTATCCCCCTGGGAAAGAACAGGGTTCCAAATCTGGATTCAAACTGCCTGGGGTGAAACTTAGATTCCACTTCTAATGAACTGGCAGGTTTGGGGCAACTGTTCTCACCTAGGGTGACTTTGACCTTCCTCCCCAGAGAACAGGATGTGGGGTGGTGATAAGAGGAGGGGGGACTCTGAATGGAGTTCTGAATGCTGCTAGGCATCCTGCAGGCTCAGGAGAGCCCACCGCCCACAACTCGAAGGCTTAGACGGCTCAGGGGCGCAGGTGAAGAAGCCTGCAAAGAGACTCTACCAACCTTTGCCAAGGCCAAGGTTTTTCTTGGTGGTAAAGGAAGGAAGCGACCACCTACTCATTGGCTAGCGTGAGAACTGAATGACACCCAGAAAGTGCCTGGCACCATTTACTTATTTCTGATGCTCATTGCACGCTTACGGCCTTAAGCCCTTCTCTGTTAGTGCCTTTTTCGCCCTATCTAATGCGCCCAGATTCTACTCTGGAGGGAAGACAGACTCATTTCTATCCATATTTCCTGGCACAGCACCTGAAATACACAGTTGAAGATGCTACATAAATACAGATTTCCCTCTGTGGCTTCCAACGTCTCCCAGCCAGACGAGGGACCATAAAGGCTGCTCCATTTTTATTTCCATTTTCAAAGAGTGAGGGGCAAGGATAGTAATAGACCCTAGGGGACAGGAAGTGATATCATCAGAATTGGAAATAGAAAATGTACCATCCAGAAAACTCCTCTTCAAGTAGTCCAATGTGTTAAGAACTGGTCAACATACAGAGAAGGAGCCAGAAAAGGGACCAATAAAATACTGTTGGCGATGAGGTTGTGTAGTGTGGAGAACAGAGGAGCCTATCTTCTCCTGATTCTTCCTACTGTAAACAACAGGATCATGGGTCCCAAAAGAACCAGGTTTCGATCTCACTTGAGCCACTTCTGGCTGTATAATTTCAGAAAGCTCTTTAACAGCTCTGAGTCTTTGCTGTCCTTGTAAAAAGAAACCAGCCTCTCTGTGTAGTGGAGTTGTGATGACGGGGTATGCTATTTCTGTAGTGCCTAGGATAATATCTGTCACAGCACAGGAAAGAAGGAAAAACAATTACCCAGTAGCCCCCAACTGAAGGCAGCCAAATGAGGACCCCAGGACCCTGCGTCTGTTAGAATTGCTCTCAGATGGGATCTGAGCACTTGTTTAAAGCTCTCCCAGGTGAGTCATATATATGTAGTTAGGGCTTACACACCCAGAGGGACCCATGCCTAGGACTGTGTCTGCCACAGGCGCTTCCCAGGTCTTCAAGCCTTGTGATGCCCAAGTCTGGCATAGCACTCCCCGGGCTGCTCCAGTCCCTCTGCAGCTGGGACCACGGCAGCTTCAGTTAGTGGAGTTAATGTCTTCGGATGTTGGCATCTTGTACCTCTGGGGTCTTGTAGTTGTAATGTACATTTATTTAATTGTTATTAGATGTGATGAGAATTGGGTTGGATCTCTTTCTCTGAAAACAACTCTAAAGAGTAATTACATTTTTATCTCATTGACTCCTTTTGGCAGCCCTGTAAAGAATGATTTCAAAAACTTAAAAATGAAAGTGCCCTGCCCCATAGGTGCTCAGAAAATATAACTTCCCACCATTGGGCACATAAGGTCACTAAAGTTCAAAGAAGTTAGGCAACTCAAAACGCACGGGGTGGGCATAACTATTGAGGGAATGCAAGCAAAGCCCTGAAGGGAAGGTTGGAAATGCCGTCGTGCTTAGGAGAGTTTTGCTATAGGATGAGAGCTGTGTTTTCAAGTTCATTCTTAACAGGGCCCCGATGGGTAGTCAGACAACATCACTCATGACCCAGGTCCCATGAACAGCCATGTGAGGCTATTGCTGGGGAAAGAGCACTTGGGAGATCTGAGCCCCTGCAGCCACAACGCAGAAAGGTGCCCCTCCCTTTCCAGCAGCTGCTCTGTAAGGCTCTGTAGATGAATCTCTTCCTCCCTCTCCCCTAGCCTCACAAGGCAGAGGCTGCTGTGATTCACACCTGGCAATCAAGACTGTCACTTGCAGTCAGCCAGGGGACAGCTGCATCCCTTGACAATTGCATCCCTCCCCCTCCGTGGTGGCTGTGGGGTCCATATTGTCTTCTAGTCCCCATTTGACTCCACCGGCTGTGCCATTCTCGTTCTTAAAGCTAGGTCTTGGCTTCACAAACCAATTGCTGACTCAAAGCACTTCAATTAAGGGAAAATGTCATTTAAATCGTTTATTGACAAATCCAACTCTGAATTTTGGAGAATGCTGGCTGGATATCCTCAACTATTTATGCAGGATTATTATGGTTTTGAACTTGGGGACAATTCTCTCTGTTAAAAGGGAAGACAGCAAATGTGCAATGAGTGTTTGGGACATTCTAACACCACATTGAGACTCTCCTTGACATAAGCTGAAAGGGAATTAAAAAGGGAATAACTACCGCCTACAGTCACTGAAATCTAGATACCCATGCATCACATAAAATCATCATGAGTAATAACAAGAGTAATCCACAACATTTTCTAACTGCACACCAGGCCCCTTTTGTGGAGCCTTTAGTGGGTATTCACTCATTTAATCCTTTAACATATAGTGAGCATAGCAATACTGCTATGCTTTTTTACTGATGAAGACACAGAAATGCAAAGTTCATTGCGCCTTAATATATCCTTTAAAAGTCAGTCAACTCGTTGGCCTAAGGTGTGGGGTTTGGCCAAAATATAATTTAAATAAAGCATCTCACATCAAGTATGAAACACCCACTTGCCTGACCATGACTTTCCCTTTCCAATGGGTAACATCGGCCTCACATTTAGTTCAAGCATCAGAGAAGTGATGATCCAGGAAGTGAAAAGAAATCTTTGAAGATATCAAAAAGATATTAAAACAAAGTGTGGACTATGGAGATACACAAATTCACATTTATGAAAGAAAAATGGATTTGAAGTTTTGTAACATGCTGCCACAAGGCGAAACTGTGTCATTTCTTGCAACACAGGAGCATCCATCATTATCTCAGAGTTAAAAATTTTGATCTGAAAGAGAGTGTAAATGTCAAAGTGTTTGGCAGATGTGAAGTGTTGTCAAAAGAGTTTTCACCTATAGTTTTTTCTTCACTAGAACTCTCAATATTCCCTCTTCATTACTGTCTGTATTTATCCATTTTATAGGTAGGAAAACTGAGCTTCAGAGAGGTAATTTAACCTACCAATGTAACTTAGCCCATGGAAAACAAAAGCAAGGATTCGAGTCCAATTCCTTTAAAAATCAAGCCAAGTGGGGCGCCAGTGGCTCACGCCTGTAATCCTAACTACTCAGGAGGCAGAGATCAGGAGGATCAAGGTTCAAAGTCAGCCCCAGGCAAGTAGTTCTTAAGACCCTATCTCAAAAAAACCCATCACACAAAAAGAGCTAGTGGAGTGACTCAAATGCAAGGCCCTAAGTTCTTTCTTTTCTTTCTTTCTTTCCTTTTTTTTTTTTGTGGTACTGGTGTTTGAACTCAAGGCCTACACTTTGAGCCACTCCAACAGCCCTCTTTAGTGATGGGTTTTTTCCAAGATAGGGTCTCACGAACTGTTTGCCCAGGTTGGCTTTGAACTCCGATCCTCCTGATCTCTGCATCCTGAGTAACAAAGATTACAGACATGAGCCACCCTAAATTCAAACCACAGTGCAATCAAAAAAAGAAGGCAAAAACTAAATGAGTTCTCAAAGGCCCATGTTTATAGTAAATGGTAATATCCTTATAATTATGCTGAGCCCCTCTGATGCATAGCAAAAATGTGGGAACTCTTTCTATGCAGTGGGAACTCTTTTTCTACGTAGGTAATGATTGTTTTATTGCTGGATTGCAGACAGAACATGGCTAAAGTTAGGTGTTCAACATTGTACTCAACATGGCAGAGTGGGCTGGTGGGGAGAACGGATCATCCAGATACCAGAGAGCCCCAGCCCCACTCTTCACAGAAGGATCACCAGTGTTCTGCCTTAAAATTTAATTTATTGAAGACTGGGCATCATGGCACATGCCTGTAATCCCAGGTACTCAGGAGGCAGAACTAGGAGGATCAGTTTCAAGGTCACCCCAGGCAAAAGCCTGAGATTCTATGTGAAAAAGAAACTAAAGCAAAAAGGGCTGAGGGTGTGGTTCAAGTGGTAGAGCACTCACCTAGCAAGTGTCAGGTCCTGAGTTCAAACTCCAATACTTCCAAAAAAAAGTAAGTAAATAAAACTATAAAGTACATTGCTCTGTTTATAAAAAGAGAGGTTTTATCTGAACAGAAAATCACTCTGCTTATTTTTCTGCAAATGTGAACTAACTCAAGTGAGACAGTTGAAGGAATCAGAATAAAATTTACTTATACACTCAGTTACATCTACATAAATGTTTGAAATGCCTTCATAAATTGAACATATTTATTTTTCAAGCATTTCTAATTCTGACAGGACAGGCTTAAATCCTAGCAAGCAAAACGTTAATAATTTTTGTAATTCTGACAAAGTAATTGTGTAAATACAGAAAAATTCAAGTGCTCTTACAAAGTGCAAACTGTTTACAAAAGGAGTCAAGAAATGTCTTGACTATTTTAAGTTAAAATAACAAGTCTAAAGTCAATTACACATTTAAAATTACAGTCAACACACCAGCAGCTCTAATATGCCAGAGTCTCTTAAAGATTAAAAACCCTGAGACTAGTCTCAATTTAACTGCAGAATAACCAATAGTGTGGTGCTTGTTCTACTCCATTACCTCTAACCATATCTCTTTATCTCCTCATGGACCCAACCCAAAAGGAAGGGAGGATGCAGAGATGCTAGTATCTCAGGCGGGCAAAGGTAAGATGTTAAAAACCGGACCCTCAGGATGGTCACCTCTGGCATGGAGCCCCAACACCAGGAGCTGAGTCTGAGCACTGTGTGCCTCTGAGGTCATCTTGCCTGATACAGATGGATTTGTAAGCTCTAGGGTCCACAGCCCTCCAGTGGGGCAGCGCTCTCCAGTATTTCCACTGACAGACCCAGGTAGATGGGCCGCACACCCTCACCCCACTGCCTGCCTTGCTTCTTCGTCAGACTTGGGCCACATTCTAACAACCTGCTGAATTGCCAACCATTTTCATTTTCATCTCTAGCAGTTCTCACAATAACCCCGTGAGATGAATACTCTTATTGCCATCCTACAGATGAGAAAAATGAGGTTTAGAGAAGTGACTTGGTTTGTCAATATAATGAAAGGCGTGGATTTATTCTGGGTCTTAGCCATCTTGACTTCTTTCCCTTCTATTCACTCAGTGTTCTGGCTTTTTTCAGTCTCAGATCTCTTTTCATTGTTGGGTTTTTTTTTTTCCCCCTCACACATGCTTCCCTGGGATCCTACTATACCTGACAGCTTCACATTTTAAACTATTTACATTTTCTCAAAGAAAAAACTGAGGACTTTAGAGTCCAGTTACTAGTAGGTCTGACTGTGCTAATGAAACCTGTCATGGAAACCTGAGGGTCAAGTGGAATCATGGTGTTATTTAAATTCACCACAAATGAGAAGCAAGGCTCCTCATGCCTTTTCTAGAACCACCTTTTATATTGCCTTATAACTTTTTCCATCCCTTGGAAAATTATGAGAAAAATAACTGGCTCTAGTTTTATAGAACTGTGATAAATATCACACTGGTCTATGGGCTGTTAATTTGGCAATGAAAATGTAATCAAAGGCTTATAAGGGCTCAGAATGATTTTACCTTCATCACTATGATCTGTATTTTATTTAATACTGTATTTCTTCTTCTTACAGAGAGGTAAGTGTAAGTGTAAAGGACTTAAGTGAGGTGAGTACCTATTTTGTCCTTGGGATACAAAAAGGTAATTTTTGTCATCGAATGTCCACAGTCAGCCAGATTCCCTTTGCTTCAGGTACTTGGTCACATTAATTCTCACAATAGCTACGTTCAAAATGTATTAACTAATTTGAAAGGTGAAAAAACTAAGGTAAAGTTAAGAACCAGATTTTAAACCAAGATGTGACCTTGCCACCCTGTTTATTCAGCGGTGTTTATTCAGGAGCAAGCCCACCTCCACACGGAAGACACCAGCCCACTGATAGCTTCCCATCTCCAGCTTTACAGGAATCCAGTATGGAAAGCTGCACTGCACCTTGCTGTTTGTTCACAAGAAAGCCAGGACTGCAAAGTGGAAGGCAGATGAAATCAGGGTTTGGCTGCTACCCTGCCATCCACTAGCCTCTGTGAACTTTCGCAAGTTCCTCAAACCACTCGAGTTTCAGTTTCCTTTGCCATAAAATAGAGATGGGTGCATTTCTTTGCAAAGTGGTGATAATTGTCAAAGTAAGTGCACAACTGGCCAAGTGATTATTGCAGGCTCAATTAATGGAATGAAAGTCAGGTAAGATGGAGATACCTTTGTACCTTCGAAGGCTCTTTATGTCCTAAGCAGAAAGGTCCTGTGACTCATGAAAAGTTCATGTCTAACAACATGAGTGGCCTCACCTTCCTCCCTTTGGACTAAGGGGTTCAGTTCTTGTCTTTGTATTGATCTTCGCACTTACATGTAGACCACAGAGGTTAAACTTCCTCCATCCTTCCTTCCTTTATCCCCTCCTTCTTTCCTTCCCTCCTTTCTTCCTTATGTTTGGCTTTATAAGAATGCTAAAATAAAAGCCATGTTTCTAATTTGTCAGTCAAACAAGACATTTACCACCTCTAATCCCTGTAATACGTGAAATGATGACGTCAGTAGGATACCATATACCGCTACTGGATGAAAGGCACAGACCTGGTTCCATAGAGGATCCTCCTGGCTCATGCTCCTCCAGGGGTTGTGGAGCTCTAAGTACCACCAAGAAGCTGGGTGTGATGCCCTGTTGCTATGGGAACAATCACCTGCCCAGGACTCCACCCCTCCCTCCCTGTAGGTTGGATTTACGTGCCTCAAGTAGAGGCTGGCTTCTACCCAAGCTGCTTCAAGTCCGTTAACTCACTGGTCAGTCTGGGAGGACAATGGGCCCTCTGGTCACTAATGAACAAGAAAATGGAGGTGAGCCTACAGGCAGCAGGGAGTATGAAGGGCTGTTTGCTGTCTTTGCAACTTTGGTTCCCTTCTGCAAGAAGTTGATAGCATCTAAAGAACAAGGTCTAGTAAAAAAAAACACATTCTTGCATCTTCTGCCAAGATGCTTCCCCATTTTTGTCTGGGCTGTGATTCAAGGCCATTCTCTATTACAAAAGCACATCTGGAAGGACAAATGCCATGCCTGTGCACACATGAAATGCTTGCTTCATTTTATCTTGAGGCATAGAATCTGTACCATTAGAAATAATGGGCTACCTGCCCCAACTCAAAGTCACACAACACTTTTCTAGTTTTCAAAATGGAGACATGTAGTGTCATTTCATCTTCACCAAGCCCTAGGAGAACAAGGAAGCCCTGGAGAGGTCACAAACTTCCAGAGTTCCCACAGCTGACAGAAGACAGGGCCAGATCTGAAGTCCCATAGCCATGAATCTCTACCCTAAAAAATACAGAGACAGTCTGAGCTAAAAGAATAAAAAAGAAAGGAAGAGAGGGAGGGAGAAAGGAAGGAAAGGGATGCGAAGGGAGGAAGGGAAGAAAGAGAGGGAATGAGGGAGGAAGAAAGAGGGACAGAGGGAGGTGATAAAGAAGCTATCACTATCTCACTTGACTGTTTACTCTCTAACAGCAAAATGTTAAAGTAGAAAAACTAGAGTGATTTCACTCCACTTTTCTCATTGCACTTGATTTTAAATTCGGTGCCCTCAAGCAAAAAGTCAGCTGGGTCTCAATGAAATAAAACAACTGTTCTCCCAGAAGCCAGAAGTGGGCCTCTCAGTAGTATTTACAGGTCTGCCTCCCTCTCCTTTGACAAGCCTGAGAACTCCTGCTGCATCTGATTGAGCACTTTGAACTGCCAAGTTCAAAGTCCTGGGAAGACTCCGTGGGGAGACTTCCAAACCACTTAGAATGGATTCATTGCCTTTTTCCCTTAGCCTGTAGATTTGCTTTGATTTTCTATCCATCACGAAATGTACGTTCTCTTTCCAGGCATGCCAGAGTCTTTAAAATAAAAGTGTCTGTCTGTTGGCTAACTTCAGATAGGACAGAGGAGGCCTTTGTAAGCAAATTGTTGCTAAGTTTCTCATCTAGGAAGCAAGTATGAGTCAGGAGACCTGGGTTCAGGGTCAGCCTAGCTGCAACATAACTGTGGGACCTCAGCGAGTGGCACCCTCTCTCCAGACGTCATCTCTTGGACTTTGGACCCATTGGAAAAGCTGATGACAGGTATAATAAGCCTGCCTCACAAAAACCAGATGCGCACATTTATAGAGAAAACTATTTTCACTTCAGAAAGCTTATAAACCTCACTAGACCACCCAATGACCTTTTCCTTCCCCAGGTCAAAGAAGTTCTTATCCATGTGATTCCTGGGGTGTCTCTGGCCGGTACAATGTATGAAATGGATTTCATAAAATTATTTACAAGGAATGGGGATCTAGCTCAGTGGTAGAGCACTTGTCTGGCATGCAGAAGGCCCTGAGTTCAATCTCTAGCACTGTGCCTCCCCAAAACAATGTTTGCCACCAAACAAACTCTTCGGCAAACACTGTACCTTCTGTAAAGACTTTTGCTCCTTCAAAAGAGTTGGTTAAGGATAAAAGCCAATAAGCATGTAGATTTTCTTAACAAAAGGCAATCGGGAATCCTACTACTTGTAAGGAAGGAAACAAATGTTTGAAAAAATAAATGCTGTGTTTAAAAAGAATAATACAAATATTTTCTCCTCATTTTTAAAAATAAGTATTTTCAAATAAGTGTAAAGAAAAAATTAACTGGATATGGTTGTACATGCTTGTAGTCCCAGCTACTCAGGAAGCAGAGACTGGGAGGATTGTGGTTTGAGACCAGCTGGGGAAAAAAGTTAGCTAGACCCCCGTCTCAATAAACAAGTCAGGTATGATGGCTCACACTTGTGATCTCAGCTACATAGAAGGAATAGGTAGACTATCACAGCCTGAGGCCAGCCCGGGCTAAATGCATGAGACCCTATCTAGAAAATTACTAAAGTTTACAAGAGGTAGTGGTGTGGTTCAAGTGGTAGAGAGCCTTCCTAGCAAGCATGAGAACCAAGTTCAGAACCCAGTTACCATTAAAAAAACAGAAAAAAAAATAATCATAGCCTCCTCATTAAACATTACCTCTGTTACTTTTTTTTTTTTTTTGCGGTACTGGGGTTTGAACTCAGGGCCTACACCTTGAGCCACTCCACCAACCCTTTTTTTGTAATGGATTTTTTTCAAGATAGGATCTCAGGAACTATTTGCCTAGGCTGGCTTCGAACTATGATCCTCCTCTGATCTCTGCCTCCTGAGTAGCTAGGATTACAGGTGTGAGCCACCAGCTCTTGGATTCTATGACGATTTTATCATATTTCTTCAAGCCTATTTTTCTGAATTTGTGTACACACGCATGTACATTTAAAATGTCCCAGCATATACTCACTTGATGACGGGTAAATATAACATATGGCCCCACTCATGAACTTTTAAGGTGACACTGAGGAATACTTAGAGTGAACTCTTACTCATTATCTATGCAAATACATGCACGCCTTTATAATAGTCCACTGAGCAAATATAGCCCCAAAATTATCAATTCTTACTTAATCTGGGCACATAGCTTGTTCCCAATGATTTGAGCTATAATAATGACATACTAAGCATCCTTGTACATGGAACTTGGGCTACATGTCAGGTTGTTTCTTAGACAAATAACCTCATCAAGGCAATTACTGGAATAAGAATAAGAGTGTTTCTAGGGCTCTTGATAACTAGGGTTAAATTGCCCTCCAAAGAATAAAAGCAATTTATAGCGCCATCAGCACACTACGTACTCTGTTACATCATACAAAGAATACAAAATTTTTATTTTTGATAAGTCTTTTAGAGTTTTTACAACATCTATACCAACAAAATGTCTTCCCAAACAACCAACCACATGCTCCAAAACCACATGGTATTATCATAAGTTCCACATGATCCAAAGTCATTCAACATTGTTTTTTCATTTAATACAGGTCCTAGGAGCAGGCAAAGGTAAATTGTTTACAATGGTTTTCTTACCCTAATTATATTAGAATAGAATAAGTTCTGCTTCTAGATCTTTATGTAAAAGGATGGCTTTGAAGCCTGGAATATATGGTAGGGGGTGTGCATGTGTGATGACCAGGACACATAGGTCCAAGACTTCATAGTCTACTCAAATATCCTCTGGTCTAAACAGGATAATTTAATTCAGCCAGTGGTCTTCTTTTAGCCATAGGTTACCAACCAAAAGGAGTCATACTTCTTTTAGCCATAGGTTACCAACCAAAAGGAGTCATACTTCCTGGTGTCTCTCTCTGCCTCCAATACTGCACACACACACACAAACTTGGTGCCAGTGTTGTAAAAGCATGCAATCTGAACCTCATTGACTAAATGGCAGGATGCTAAGCAGGTAGTACCTCCACTTCTACCTTTAAAATCCTGCTCTCCATTCATTTAGAGTGAGAAAATATGTAGAGGCAAAGGAGCTGCCCCATGGCCCAAAGAATTAAGAAGAGAGCACGGTTCAACAGAGCAACATTGGATCAGGACTTCAGATCACTGTGTGATTTTGGTTCAAGTTTCATTTCCTTTTGGGCCTCAACCTTTCTTTATAGATTGAGGAAGTTAAACTTGAAGAAGGACTTACCCGGTCTCTCAGTTCCTAAGGGTCCTTGGTGGAGGAGTTGGGAAAACCATGGCCTTTACCCACAGTAAACCTTAGCACACTAACCAAACTTTCAGCTGTTGTATCTGGCTTTAAGACATCCGTGTACCAATGTGACATTGTTCAGCTCACCAGAAGCAGATACTCTGGGTGGCTGTTAGTAACATGAAGTGATTTTTATGGGATGTGTGATTAATGGACCAGTCACTAATTCAAATCATGTTTCAAATAATGGCAGCCTTTCAATCAAAGTTGCCCAGTCTGTGATCAACCTTGGGCAGAGCCAAAATTAAGACATGAGCGTCAGTGTCTCTATGTTTCCTTACCTTTATTACTTGCAATCACAACTGGAAGAGTACTTTATGAGATTTCAGATCATAGTATTATTAGGTGGCCTCAATGATTCTGGATGACTGGTTAAAATCTATCTGTGATGAAAAGGAAATAAAAAACAGTAACAGCAATGGCACCTGTAAACACTAAGAACTAAATAACTCCAGTCCATATGCTTGGCAGAACATTTCCAAACTTGATGGTCCAGGGGAAAACACTGAGAAAATGTATCGCTGGTTGTAAACTGCTGGAAACTACTGGGCCTACATCAGAATCTGAAGCTCACCTGATCTACCACAGGAAATGTATAAGAGGTCAGGTGGCTTGTTCCGGCTTTGGGCATCCCTGGCCCTGTCCCCTGCAGAATCCAGAGTGGCCCTTTGGCTTAACTGTCTCCCATCAATTTCTTGGCTCAGCAGAAGGCCTTCTGTAGCCTCACCAGCAGTCATCACTGTATCCTAAAGTAGTACAGTACTTCAGTTTCTCTATGTCATTTGTACTGTCTGAAATGTCTTTATTCTCTTAAATTTTTGTGGGTCTGGAATTTGAACTCTGGACTTTTGTTGCTCTCTGCTTGAGCCATGCCTCCAGTCCATTTTGCTCTGGTTATTTTGGAGACGGTGTCTCATGAACAATTTGCCAGGGCTGGCCTCAAACCTCCACCCTCCCAATCTCAGTCTCCCACATAGCTAGGATTATAGGCATGGGCCAGTGGCACCCAGCTAAAATCTTCTTATTGATCTGCTTGCATGCTTACTTGCTATCTCCTTATATTGGAATGTAAGAACCATGTCTGCCTTGTCTAACTCCTGATTCTGACAGAGAACAGGTCCATTGAAGGTGTCCAGTATATACTTGTTGAATGATATTAATGAATGAATGAGAATAAAGTTAACTTTTAAGCTCTTTGGTCTAGAATAACCCCTAAAATAACTTCCAGTGTAATATTGGGTATGTCTTGGAATTCAACAGTGTGTGTCCTAGACTGTAAACATTCAATGTGATTTTCATAGCTTCAGGGAGAATACATTCCCAAGTTTGAAAAGTTGTAGTATTCTACATGAGTCATAGTTCCAGTGACCACCACTGGAAGCCAGAGTCAGAGATTAGTCAGATGAAATGACAGTAGTTCCAGTGGGCTTCTAATGGTCTTCATTCATTTTCAATATTCAGTCTGACCAATTGTGTTAAACCTTTCAGTTTCTCATCATCAGATCAAGTCAGAACCAACTCACCCATCACAAAGTCAGAACACTTATAAGATTCCAGATGCCATTGCCAGGTAAGGAGCCATGAATTCTTGGTCAGGTCCCACAGGGGGTCTAGCCATGTGCTGTTATGGACAACGACTATCAAGACTTCTCAGGAAATCTTTAGGGTTTGATTCTGAAGCCCAGTGATGAGGCCCAAGGGGAGTGAGTGAATCTCAACTATGATTGAATGTAAAAAATGCTTTGGTAATTGAATGTTATAGAGGTACTGGGAATTTGAAGAACTGAGAATCACTGGATAGGATTACCTGGGACAGATGGTAGTCTTAGAAAATTTACCCATTTCTAGCTATTCTCAGGTGATGACCACATCAAGCTTATAGTTGCTTTTGAATACCACTTTATAGATTATCAGCTGTTGAGAAATGCCACTATCTTATTAAATAATTGTCTTTGAAGAAGCAAACACTCTGGAACATGACTGTAAATTGGTAGTGGCATACTCAAAACACAGGGCCTCCAATGTTAGGTTCTGAGGCCCACACCATCTAGCTCTGGCCAATGGCTGCAACCTTAGTTCATGTGATTCCCCTCACGTGCTGCTCTACAACCTCATCGGATGCCTTCTAGCTCCCGCTCTGTCCCTCACTGCAGGACATTTCCATATCATATTTCTCTGCCTGTAATATATCCCACCCCATATTTGCTCCTCTCCACCCTCTACCTATGTGAAAAACTCCTTTTCCTCCATCACACCCCAACTTAGAACCGCACTATATCCAGGACACTGTTCTTACCCATTCCCTAAATGGGAAAAAATGAGGCACAAAGAGGAAGTCCTCTACCACTGAAGTCAAGTCCAAGTCCAACTCCAAAGTCCAAGCACTTCACAGTAGCCCGTGCTAATGAAAATAACTGCGTTCTAAAAATGCTGCCTGTGAATCATGGTTCTCCATGGCATCTGCCCATAGCTCAGGTGGTGCCTTTTATTTATTCAATAAGTACTTACTGGAGCTATGCTTGTGTTGGAATAAAATAGTGGTTAGTATGAGATCTACTTTAGTCAGTCTGCCTGATGGCGTCACTAGTGAGTAATGTGACTTGGTCATGTCGCTACCTTCCATGGGAAATGTAGATCACAGCCAGACACATAGTGAAAGCCTGAAATATGTCGGCTCCCATTACAGCTGCCAGGCCCTGTTTGTCAGGGGCATCATGATGTCCCTCCCCCACTGCTCCCCCCACCTCATTTTCTCGCCCTGTCCTATTTAGCACTTTCAATAACTTTGTTCTCACTTTTCGGCCTGTGGCTATTAGGACTATTGTTTCATAGTTCTTACTAGGCTATTTGCTGTTTAAATTCCAATCTGACACTAAAATAGCCTTTCTTAATGTAATTTTCTAAAAGGGGAAATCATCAGATTGTATGAAAAGATGAGTTTTTTGCAATCAGACTTATAATTGTTTGATGTGGTTTGAGCGTATTTTAATTTTCTGTTTAATTTATTAAATAAAGTCTCTTAACTGACTGCTTCCTCAAAGCCCCCTTCTTGGACTTATTCCTCAAACTAACTCCAATGTTGATATTCCCCAGGGCTCAGCAGAAGTCGTCTTTACTGTCACCCTAGGCCTATGCAAGTTCATTCATTTTAGTGTTGAATATCAACCTATGTTAACAATCTCCAGATCTCTCTTGGCTCTAGGCCTGTATGTCTGAATACCCAGTGGGACACTTTTCTTTAGAGAGTCACAGGGATCACAAACTGACCATGGTGTAAATTTACTTTTTTTTTTTTTTTTGGCAGTACTGGGGTTTGAACACAGGGCCTCACCTAGACAAGTGCTCTTTTGTCACTGGATATTTTCGAGACAGGGTCTCATGAACCATGATTCTTCTGATCTCTGCCTCCTGAGTAGCTAGGATTATGGGCATGAGCCACCAGTATCCAGCTTGAAAATTGACCTTTTCATTTCCACTCTCATTCCCCAAACAATATCCTTCTGCAAACTTTTCATCCTTGGTTAATGGCAAGCTTTCTTTCCTGTTATCACTCTTGGCATCCAATCCATTTCTGGCTCCCAAAATTCTACCTCCAAACATGCTTGAATCTATTCATTTTGCCCTTCCCCTTTTCCAGCTCTCAGCTTAGAACAGCTACCACCAACCCTTCTGGACCACTGTAGCCTTTTAGTGATGCTGAGACTCTTCATCCCTACCTCCCATCTGTGTAGAGCTAGTTCCGGGCCCTTATGGAGTAGGCCATGCCTCTGAGCATGCAAAGGCATGCACTGCTCCTGGAACATACTTTCCCTCCTTCTTTTCACCCCTCACGGGTCTGCCTGGTTAAAACCTCAGCCAGAACCTTTGCCAAGAACCAGAGCAATTCTGTGTGGGTTACTGACCTTTCACTGCCATAGGAACTGATCCTGTACACACCGTTCCCATGATGCTTGTCAGGATGGCTTGTCTGCATAAACCAAGCCCTATTAGGGCAGGGGTCACTTCTCATTCATTTTATATCCCCCAAACACGCCTTGCACCTAGTAAGTGCTTAACACGTGTTTGTTAAATGAAAGCATTGTCATTTTTATCTTAGTTTCAGCTGTTTTTGTTGTTTAGTCCTATCCTTGTAACACACGAACTTGAGATGAAGAATATCCTCAAAGGGTATTCCTCCTCTTTCAACAATTCTTAAAAATGCTGAAAAATTAGAGCAGAGATATTTTGTTTGTTTGTTTGGTTTTTTTTTGCTCACCTATTTAACAAAACTGTACACTGACTCCTAGCAAAGGGATTTTGGTTTAACAGTGAAGAGAGTAGATATCAGAAGTTTAACAGTGAAGAGAGTAGATATCAGAAGTTTAACAGTGGTGGTCAGATGACCTGTAGCATTTTTACCTACAAAGCAAGCTGTAACTAAAGCCCCAGGCTTTCATGGGAATAACAAAAACCAGACTCAAGCTCTGTTGATTTCATTGGTGCTAGAAAAGGGTCAAGTTTCATTTAATTAACCCAGAGGCTTCAGTCAATAGGACAGTCCTTGGAATGGAGCATGTTCCATGTAATTAGGTTTAATTCTATAAACACCTGGAGCTCATATTAACGATGTTGACCACCATGCGAAATGAACCAGAAAATTAGATCTAGGTACAAAGGAAAGCCATTGATGGCCAGTTTGGAAGGCACATTGTAATTTCAGTTGTCTATTATATTTTCATAATCCCTGTTCCTTTATGGAATTCCTGTACTCCACACAGCTTTCTCACCCAGCTCATATTACAAAAAGGAATGTATTTTTTATACTCTTCTTCCTTTATTGAGACTCTCAATCAGTAAATAGTCTCCACAGAATATGAGCCACAAACAAACATACTAGTTCCTGTGAGTCTAAACTAATAATTTCATACAGTACGATGGTGTGTGCTTACTGAAACAACACGATAAAAGCTTACGTGAGTCAGTTCATTTGTTCCATGTCTAATATTTTCCACTCTTGAGAAAGAAGAGCCCACCTCTTGTTGCCTTAGAAAACTAACCATTCTTCTAGCACACTCAGGAAAATATGAAGTATTTCATAAATGTGATTTCTGGACATTGTCAGTAATATTGTCCCCAAGAGGAATTTTCTTCACCACAGGAAATTCTAACATTATATTAATTCTGACATTTCTTTTAGCTCTCCATTCATGCCAAGAAACCACAGTAGGCAAGACACAGGTAAGGGAACTTTAAGAAAGAATAATGAAATAAACAGGTAAGTCATCGCACTATGACGGTCTTGCACTGTGACTTAAATTTTGTGAATTTGAGTCACTGAGCTGATGTGCTTATACACATCAATCATATCAATCAATACATACACCAAACATCAATCATTTGCCTTGATTAATAATATTTCATTTGGTTAATAGGATTTAATTTTAGTGATAACTAATCTTAATTTATAATAAAATAATCACAGGGATGGTTTCCAGATTTTTACCCTTTGAACACTACCATGTCATGAATACTATTGTAGATGTCTGTCCATGTGTACAATAATATGATGCCAACCTGATTGAACTGAAAGATGCCTAGGAGATGAGTAAAGCCCACCTCTGGGTGTGTCTGCGAGGGCATTTCCAGAGATGATTAGATCCCGGGACTCTGACCTGATGAATGGCTTAATCCATTGATGGATTCAAAGTTTGAATGGACTATTGGGAAAGAGTGGAACTGTGGAAGTGGGCCCAGTAGGATGAAGTATGTCACGAGGGCTGTATCCTTGGGACAATATCTTGCCCTGGCCCCTTCCTGTTACTGTTCCACTCTGCTTCCTGTCCACCTGGATGAGAGCTGTTCCACAGTACATACTCTCCCTGGCATGATGGACCAACACCTCTGAAAACAGGAGCTAAAATAAATCTTTTCTCCTTTTAAGTTGTTCATGTTAGGCATTCTGTCACAGCAATGAGAAAGCTGACTAACACAAATAGAATTATTTTTCTTTCTAAAAGAGAAATTTCTGGGTCTTAGGATGTCTCTTCAATTGCCTCAGGTGCATTTTCCAAAGTAAATGTATCAGTTAGTCACCAATAGTTCATGAGTCCTCTTTGTTCCCCATCCTTCCCAACAAATGCTTTTGACAAACTTAATTATTCTCAATCCATTGAGTGTAATATAGATTTATCTCAAAAAAGTCTGTACAATGGAATAAGTAAAACTGACCCTTCTTGCTAATTGATTACAAAGATAAAAATCAGAAGGGTACTAAGTTTGTGCATCTGTCTAAAGCAGTAATAAATACGGTGTCATATAATTGCCAGCGGTGGGCTTTGATGTTATCAGCATATTTTTCCCAAGCTAGGTCTATTGTGTGCATTTTCCAGGGAGATTCTTTGATCAGGTCTCTCTGTTGAGCCAGAAAAAAGGGTATCTGGGCTGAAAGAAGCAGACCCCATGGGATCTAGTAGACAGGACGAGAGGCTCTACTGTTCTTCGTCTCAATTCTGCCTCTCTTCCTATAGAAGGAGCACCTTAAGCTATTTAATTCTTTGAGCTTCCCACTCCCCATTCATCAAATAAAATAACCCATATATCAATATCAACATAATACATACACGGGTACACACACACAAACACCCCCACACACACACACAGTCTTCTGTTAGACACATTTTGCTATCCTTCCTTCTTTTGTGCATTGTGCTTCTTTCTTCCTATCCAACTGACCTCATTATACTTCTGTTTCCTTCCTGATTTCTGGGCTGGGATGTAGCTCAGTGGTACAGTGCTTGCCTAGCATGCGTGAGGCCCTGGGTTCGATCCCAGCACCAAAAAAGAAAAGACAAATAACAAAAACTTCTCCTCCTTCCTGATTTCCTTCATACCTCATTTCACTTATGCCTCATTTTTCAAAAGAAAGTTGAAAAAACCTAAGGCCTGTATTATATGCTCACCTCCCCTAATGTACACAGTATTAGTAGGGTTTTTCAAAGAGGGGACTCCTTAAAAAAAAAAAAAAAAAGTGGCCAAAGAAGGTTGTGATAGCCCAGTGGTGGACACTTTCCCTAGGAACAAAATGTCAGGAAGAGGAGTGCTGAAGGTCAGATCTGGGTTATGAAGGTGAAAAGACCTGGATTATCTAGGCAGAAAGTCCAGGGCTGAATAGGCCCAGAAAGGACTTTACTGATGTGGGGTTTGGAAATATCCTGCTGGGACAGAGAAGCAGAATCATGCCCTAGGGAGGAGTCCAGAGTCTTGGTGTAAAGACTACAATCATGCACACACAGTAAGGAACCACTGAGGACTGGAACAGCGGGTCAGTGATGACCAAGGCCTTCCCCATGAGTTCAAATATCCCACGGCTGTAAGTGGATCAGCATTGTTCTTACCTCATCTCAGAGGAAACAGGGCTCCTAAAGGAACCTAGAGTGAACACAGGAAATACCTTGGCCTCCTCCATTATTTCCTTTCAGTCAACAGTCACCCAATACGCACATTATTTGTACCCAAAGTAGGGTTGGACCTGAGAATCAGTAAGACGGTAAGACAGTGCTCCCTTCTACTGACCAGTGCCTGGGAACCTGTAATACTCCTCCATCAATTACCGAGCAGATCTCACTCCGCTCCACAAAAACAATTACTTACTTGTAACAGAATCCATGCTCAGAATTTTATTCATTCAACAAAGATCACCAGGGCTTCAGAAAAAAGTTGCATGACAAAGTTGTTTTTGTTTTTGTTTTGTTTTGTTTAACTCACTCTCTGAACAGAACACAGATGCTTAACTGTTTCCAAATGCTCTTTAAGTAGGACTTTTTAAATATTCAAGCAAGGCATGCAATATGGAAAAATAATAAATCAGTTGCCAAAATATCATGAAAAATTCATAACCACTGAAAGTTATTATGCACGAAGCACAACTAAGTGATAAGAAATGTGGAGAATGGCTGTTTCCTCCCTTAAGTTCTTACTGTTTCAAACCATGTTGAAAAGATAGTGATGTCCATTTTCAATAGTAAATGTCTATGTGCTACCTCCCTATGCTTTACAAGAAAGTTTTAAAGCCATTCTTTTTACAGTAGTATAGCTCTGTGAGTTTTCCCTTAGTTAGAATTTGCCTGGTGTATGGCTTTCCATCCTTTTACTCACAATCTCTCTGTGCTATTAGACTTGAGATTTACACTTGGCAATCCACTGGAATTTTTAAAACAACCTGCATCTGATACTTAAATACTTGTGGCACCTTTGGTATTTGTTGTACTAGTTTGGATCTATTGTTATATTATTTTGTACCTCTTGGCCACCCTCCTTTTAACTGACTTTTTAGTCTTCTGCCTGATATGTGTTAAATCCATCTCTTCTTTTTTTCTGTCAGTACTGGAATTTGAACTCAGGGCCTCATGCTTGCCTTGCTAGGCAGATGCTCTACCACTTGAGCCACTCATTTTTTGTGTTGGGTATTTTCAAGATAGGAGCTCATGAACTATTTTCCTGCATGGGCTTTGAACCTATTCTCTGCCTCCTGAGTAGTTAGGATTACAGGCTTGAGCCACTGGCACCCAGCTTCATAGCTTTATTCCTCATTTTTTCTCCCTTTTGGAAGTTATACTGTGGTAGTTAATTTTATAGACTTAATTGGATTGAGAAGCACCTAGGAGATTAGTAAAGCAAATCTCTGAGTGTGTCTGAGAGCATTTCCAGAGGGAATTAACTAAGAGGGGAAGGCCTGCCTTGACCGTGGGCAATACCATCCCATGGGCTGGAGGTGCAGATAGAATAAAAGGGGGAAAAGGAGAAAGCCAAGAGCATGAATTCTTGGTCTGCTTCCTGGCCACCATGCTGCAAGCTGCTCTGCTCAGAGGAGCCTCCACCACAATGGCCTAAAACCTCTGAAACCATGAACTAACAAGCTAACAACTCTTTCGTCCTTTAAGTTGTTTATATCAGATATTCTGTTATAGTGACAAAAAGTCTAACACATATACATTCCAGAAACATTCTTTTGTTAGTTACCTTTGCTATTTAAATGAAAGTGGCTTGAATTTTCAAAATCCAAAGATCATATTCTCTTCCCAAATAATATCCAAGAAAGTAAAATGTTTTAATGGTATGGACTCTGCACCATTTCAAAGTTAAACTTTATTACTTACACACTAAAATATCATAAGGAGGAATGCTTTTAACTTTATTCCTACTTTTAAGGTCATAAATTGGTGAGTGAAATTAACTTAGTATGATAAACATAATTTAAATTTTAAGTGATCGGTTTTCTGCAACAAATATTTTGATACATATAAATCCTTACAGCAAACATTCTTAGGTTCAAGAAAAACCATAATCACTGGAACCATTAAATATCAAATTTCAAAGTATCAAGAGTACTGTTTAATCTTCCGAATAATCTTAAAGAGAAATTCAACTTCTTGATGTCAAACAAAATACTGATAAAATATAAATATTAGGGTAACTGGTCTGTACATATTTGCTGATGTTTTATTTGGCATTTCATCTAAAAAAATTGTTGAGTCAAAAGTGGCCCATTCTCTCAAGGTTCTTGTTAAGTTACCAACCAGGATTATAATTTTTTAGGATGAATTAAGACATTAGTGCTTATACAACTGTCATCACACTGATCACCTCTTTTCTAATTCACATCATTTGTGTTCATATTTTAATTACCTATTGTTTTTATACTCTCAACGTTTTGTGATTTTTAAAACAGTTATTTCTAGCTTAAAATCAACACGTTTGCCTGTTTAGTGACTAACACCTGCAATTCCAGCAACTCAAGAGGCAGAGATCACAAGGATCACAATTCAAGGCCATCCTGAGCAAAAAGTTAGGGAGACCCTATCTCAACTAATAAGGCCCTAACATCCCAGCTACGCAAAAGGCATAGGTAAGCGGATGATGGTCCAGGCCAGCTCCAGGCAAAACCGCGAGACCTTATCTGAAAAATAACTAAAGCAAAAATGGATGCGATGTGGTCCAAGTAGTAGAGCACCTGCCTGGTAAGTGCAAGGCCCTGAGTTCAAAGTCCAGTACTGCCAAAAAAAATTATTAACACATTTACAAATGTCTTTGTTTGGTATCCCTCCCAGCACCTCACTGCTTCCTTATGATCTGGATTTCATAACATTCATCTTTTATTTGTGTTGACTGGAAGGACATGCAATGGAAATATTTTATTTTGGTTGCAGTATATAAATAAAATTCCACATCAAAATTTGGCAAGTGGTAGTATGTTAAAGCTGAGGTGTCAAGTGAAATCAAAGCCTGGTCAATGAGCTTCTTGAAAATGCACCCGTCTACTCTGCATAGGAATTAACCCTCTGCCTAGGCATGTTTTTGTATCATCGCTCATCGGCCACTTGGAAAGTAATGGCTAACAGACTTGAGACAGGCTTCCAGTGGTGACATATGTGTTAGCCACATCTTCATCACTAAGACAAAAATACTTGAGAATAGCAACTTAAAGGAGCTAAGATTTACTTTGGCTCCTGGTTTCAGAGGTTTTGGTCCCTGGTCACTTGGTGCCATCACTTTGGGCCTAAGATGAAGTTGAACTTCATGATGGAGAGCACGTAATGGACCAAAGTTGTCACCTCATGGCAGCCAGGAAGCAGAGAGAACAAGAGGAAGGTCCGGAGGCAAAATAAATCCTTCAAATGCAAGTTCCAGTGATCCACATCCTCTAACCAGGCCCCATTTCCTAAAAGTCCAGTCAGCTACGAGCTCATCAATAGTTAATCCGCTGATGAAGCTAACTACCTCACAATGTAATCACCTCTCCATACTGCTGTCAGCTGCCTGGGAGTCTTTTGAGAGAGCACTTCATATCCGAATCATAACAAATATATGTATGGAAAATTGACTAATTTTCCATGGAGATGATTATACCTGATGTAAACAACCTAAAAGAAGAAGTTTTATTTTGGTTCAGTTTCAGAGGTTTCAGTCCATGGTTGCTTGGCCCTTTCCATTTGGGCCTGTGGTGAGGCAGAACATCATGGCAGGAGAGTGTGGTACAGCAAAGCTACTCACCTCATGGTGGCCAGGAAAGAAGAGAAAGAAAAAGGGGTTGAGATCCTGATATCCCCTTTAAGAACACACCCCCATTGATGGAACTTCCTCCCACTGGGCTCCATCTCCTAATTTCCACTGCCTGCAATAGTGCTACAGACTGGGGATCAAATCTTTGGGGAGACATTTATGCATAATAATACGTTACTATATAATATTTTAAAAATTAATTTTTTGAGTAACACCACCAATCTCATCAGAAAAGTCTACTGGGATGCTCTTATGTCACAGTGACAAATGCCTGGTTTCTCAAATTCCAATTCGAACTTGCGAAGTCCAAATTCCTGATTGCAGTAAACACTGCCCCCTTGTGTGCCATGAAGTGCCAAGCTCTCTTACTTCATTTCTAGTAAAATATCTACTAAACACCCAAATCTGAACAACCATGGTTTGCCTATCATTCTTTTAGACTTTAAAGAAGTGCTGTTTAATTTTTTTAAGTTCTTATTTTTAAGTTCTTTTAAAAGTATTTCCTGGGCTTGACATGTTTAAGAAATTAAAGAGAGTTTATGGCCAGAGCACAGTGGATGATAGGTGAAGGATGGGGGTGAAGGTGGAAAAATAAGAGACAGAACATCCACAGCTTTTCTTTCAGGTGGGAAGGAAATTAAGGAAAGATTTTTAGCCAGGGTGAGCATCAAAGTCAGTATTACATTTTTAAAAGATTACTCTGGGTGCCCTGTGGAGGGGGTCCAGAGGAAGCCAAAGCAAGACAACAATACAGAGGGCAAGGTACTCATTAGTGAGATGTGTGGTATAGACCAAGAAGGCCACCAAGAGATAGGTAGGAGTGATGGGGTCCAGCTGTGTGTCGAGGGAAGACAGGCTGAGACAGTAACACGATCGTATTTAAGTGTGACTTTTCTCTTCCAGATCATAAAGGCAGCATGCAGTCCAGTTTTCCTCAGAGATGCCAGTCTCCAGACAGCTACGACCCTCATGAAAATGCCCTGCTCTATAAGAACACAAGCCAGAGAAAACCTTTCCCCACAAGGTCGGATGAAAAGGTGAAACAGACACTTCTCTGCCAACTCCTTCTGGGTGTATTTCACATCCAAGCAGAGCTTCATTGAGCAATGCACAAAAGGGGGTTAATTGTGATTAGTGCTAACTTTTTCCCTTCCGGCTAAAAATTATCGGGTTCTAATATTTCTAAAAGTATTTTATTGTAGACCATGCTATATTATTCTTTCACCAGATTCTTTAACTTGTGTATTTCCAGATCCTCAAAGTGTTTTGTTCATTAATCCAAAACAATGGAGGTATTTAGACTTGTGTCATTGAGTAATCTCATGGAGGACTAACTAGGAATTATATATTCCAATTCTTTTTCCAGCAAAAGATTCACATATGACACATTCACGTTAGCTGAACAGCCAATGACCATTTCTTGAGGACTTATGCATCAGTGTGCTGGCGGTTGTGGTCCCTGCCCCAGAGGTGGCAGAAAGAGGAGTGGTAATGACTGACAGATGTGCTCTGTCTACCCTCCATTTTTCTTGGTCTTTTGCTAAAATCAGCTCCATTCACACAACACACAACCAGTTCTTCTCAGACCACTATGTACTTACATTTTCCTGTATGGCAGGGAAGGATTGGGGGAGAATAAAGCTTTCCTTATAGCTTATTCACTCTTCCCTCACCTGAAATAGTGCTTATCAAAGGCTTTCACTATGCCCTGTGTCCCTTCTGGTCTCATCCCATATCCTTCTGTTGCTTGGCATCCTGGTGGAGAGCATGGCGAGGTTTGAAGCAGAAGCAGAGCGTATAGGATATATCAAAATTTCCTACACTGTCTCAAAACTCATTTCTTGCCTTTACGTTATTTCTACCTGATTCTAAAAGTGAGTTCATACTCTTAAATTAGACTCTGGGGAATCTCTGCACAAACTCCTTTATTTTCCCTTCTCGTGTACCTGACTTCCTCTGCTATCTTCATAAGCACTGGGATCCCTGGGTTCTAACTAGAGGTCTACCCAAGACCAAAGCCATCTCAGAGCCCAGAGCACCTCACAAGCCTGGGAGAAGTCCAGACTACACCACAATTTCCCTGATTCCAGCTATTTTATAAACCCTTGAAATTTGTGACATATCCAAGTACTATCAGTACTGACATGTACCTAATATTCTATAAGTTGACTCTGTTTTCACTTTGCATCACTACTATAATAATTTTTAACAAAACAGTATTCCACACCATGGATAGAAAGGAACCTTAAAAGTAACTGCGTCATTCCACTTCTGGGTATATCCCTAAGAGGTCAAAAAGCAGAAACTTAAACAGACATTTGCACACTCATGGTCATAACAATATTACTTACAATAGCCAAATGTGGGAAGAACTCAAATGCCCACTGAGAGAAAAATGAATAAACAAAAAGATATGGCTCCCCTCCCCCACCACACACACAATGAAACCTTATGCAGCTCTGGTAAAGACCAAAATTCTGACACATACTACAAAGTGGATGAATCTTGAAAACATTATGCTAAGAGAAATGAGTCAGACACAGAAGGAAAAATGGATGCCTCCTCTTATGCAAGGTTCCTAGAGTAGTCAAATCCATAGAAACTAGGAGTGGAAAGGTGGTGAGGTGATTCTGTGGGCTGTGGAAGGAGCTGAAAGTAGTGCAGTCTTATTGCTTGATGGGTTCAGAGTTTCAGTTTGAGAGGATAAAACAATTTTTGGAGATGGCTAGTGACAATAACTTCAAAGCAATACGAAGGTGCTTAATGTCATTGAATTATACACTTCAATGGTTAAAATGGTGAATCTTTACCCTATGCATATTTTACCACAATTTTTTAAGTCATTGCAATGCAAACAAAATGAACCTATTATGTGCTAGCAGGATCCATAGCCTGCTCCTGGCTGTCAGCATGAGGGTCTCTCTTCTTCTGTTATAAGAGGTACTAGAAATGTCAGAGCTAGTAAACCATACCAGTACCCGGATGAAGCATTCCTCTGGAATCACTCAGAGGACCCAAAGGGGAACATTGCTTCCTCCCCTTGGTGATCAGAGCTACCTAACACCATGTTTGAGCACCACCTACACTCTCAGCCCCCTCACGACCACAAGGGGAGCTCTGTGGCTCTATAACATCTCTAAGCGTCTTCCAACTTGAACAAAGAATTCACCATGGCGCACAATGACTGAGCCTAGCCAAGCCCCCAGACTGGCCAAGAGGCCTGTGTCTGTGACCATGGAGCTGAGACAGCTCACACTCCTGCAGGAAGGTAGTCCCAGGACCCTTTGTACTGGGACACCATCATGTGACTTTGCAGAGAGCAGCACAGTCAATTCTGTCTCTAGTCCCTCCCAGCACCAGCTTCCCTGAGGGATGAGACGGACAAACTTACTACAAAGGGGGCCTTACATAAAAGGTGTTTTTAGCTCCAATCTTGATGGAAGAGAATGGCCAAGCTGGAGAGGCAGAGAGGGTGAGGCGGGCCAGTAGGGGATCCAGGCACAGGGCTGGATTTTTCCCAACCCTGAAGCTGATTCTGTGTCACCAGACCCATGTCCTGATCTAGGGTGTTGGGAAGTGAAGCTGCAGAGTTATATCTGAGCTAATTCTCACCTGCCAGATGGTGTTCACACGAGCTCAGTGTGCCAATCACTTTGATGGGAGGATCCTGGGAGGATCAAAGGCTTTAATTGAAAGACCAAAGACTCGAAGTCATTTCCCTCATTCTTGCCAACCATGTGGTAGATCTTGACTTCCAGAACCTCCATCATTTATCTTTAACTCGGTTTAACATGACTCAGCATGCTGGTTACACAGAGACAATGTAGGGATGGCTTGGGGTCCTGAATGATTCAATATTACAGTCTGTGGAACCCAGAGAAGGAATTGCAGGTTCACAGTACATGTGTCTGATTGTCGTTCCTCTCCCTATTCTGGTGACTTTTATAATAGGAAGAATTTTAAATCATGATATAAATAAGGCAGTGTGGTGTAAGGGGAACACCAGCCAGTCTAGGGTTCAAATTTCAGTTCTACTTAGATACAACTTTAGGCAATTAAAATACTCTCAGTCTATACCTAAGTCTCAGTACCTGCTGTGTCTACGACAGCAGGGCAGCACAGGCTTTATAAACAATACACATCCACCTTGTAATCCTCTGCAGGAGCTGCCTGAGAAAGCATTGGTAGATGGAGGGTTTATTATCCTTGCAGGAGCGCCTTTCTTCATTCCTGAAATTTTGGCTACTCCTGATGACAAACACACTCCATCAACCTCAGCCATCCCAGCTGCAGTTACTTTTTCTGTATGCATCTTCACCAAGCATCAGTGGGTTTCTCCAGGTTCAAAGGCAAAATTTTACAAACTGAATCTCTAGAAATTAGTCTGTGATTGTGCAGTGTTGGAACAAAAGCAAAACTTGAACTAATTAGTCCATGTTCTCACGTCCCTTTGATCCTAAACTACTGTGCATTGATTCTGTACTGTAGGATGTCCAGCACAATGAGTGGTACATTGGAAAATACAGCCGCCAAGCAGTAGAAAAGGCATTAATGAAGGAGAACAAGGTAAATAAAACCTTCCACTGGGCCATCACCATCTTATCTACAGTTGTCCTACATCTCCAAGTAGTGTGCTCCAATAGAGTGATACCAGCATCACCCTGAATTTCTCAGTGCCGGGGGCTGTTGTAATTGAGAAGTGCATTTAAAAATGGAGACTTTCAGATCTAAGACTTGGTTGTGCCACTTGTCAGTTATGTGACTTTCTCAAGCTTCTAAATAAATTCATCTATTGTTTCCTTTATTCTTAAAATGAAAAACAGTAAAATCAATGCTAAGGAAGTAATTTGAAGATTACATGTGGCAGCTCAGGTACAGAGGTCCCACTGGACAGTGCCTCCTGCCTTCTTCAAGTTTCATCTCCTTACTAAACATCTGCCTAAGGCACAGTTGAGTCTTTATTTCTCACACCTTTAAGAAAGGAGCAGGGATTATGAATGTTGCAATAGTTATAGAATATGATGTGTTATGCCTCAATAACAAATAAGCCCAAGATCTCATTTAGCAAAACAAAGAGCTAGTGTTTGTTTGGGTAAATACAGGCAGCTGGAGGTGCTATCTCCATGGTGTACTTGTTCCGTCACACCCTGGCTCTTCAGACGTCCTCTCAGTGACCAAATTCATGTGAGCAAACTTAAGTTGAAAGAGTGTGGGGAAATACAAACCCTACTAGATCCAACCAAAAGGAGAAAAACTGAGATATTTATAACCAGGCTAAGTGAGTTCACAACCATTATCACAGAGCAAATAAGTATGAGCGACTGCTAAGTGCACAGAACTAGACAGGCGTGCTTAGAAATGATAAAAGTCTCTCCAGACTCGTGCAACTTCAAAAACCTGTCTTCAACAGTCATTGTTGAATGAAAAAAGATAGAACGAATGAGTTAATTAATTAGAAAATAAGTGATAAGTCTCTGGCAAATTTTAATAGAATTTAGTTCTCAGAATTAATGTAAAAACAAATTATATGCAAGTTGCTATGGTAAAGAGAATCATGACCTGCCCTCACCACACCCAAAGATGTCTACGTCCCAATCCCTTGAGTTTATAAGAACATGTCACCTCACATGGAAAACCCAGTGTGGTTACAAGGGTCCTTAGAAGAGGGAGGCAAGAGGGTCATAGTCAGAGACGTGATCTGCAAATGGAAGTAGAGGTCAGACTGATGGAGAAGTATGACTAGGAATTCTGGTTGCCTCTAGAGACTAGCAAAGTCACAAGAACAGATTTCCCCTCTTGGTTCTAGCCCAGTGAGTCCCAAGTTGCTCTTCTGACCTCCAAAACAGCAAGAGAATAGCTTTATGTTTTAAATTACGTATTTCATGGCAAGTTTTTACATCAGCAGTAGGAAACTAACACAGTTGTCAACAAAGTGTCTTGAACATATTAGAAACAAGTAAACTATGCCATTTCTTGGATGAGGAGACTGAGGCTAAGTCAATGTGTCCATCACAAAATAGAGAAAGTGGCAGAGCCTATATTCGCGCTCAGTGCCTTTTCCACAAAGTCTCAGCTATCTCTATAGCTGGATGGGGAACTGTGGGTGGCTGGGTGGCACCTCTCCTGGAGGACCTCCCATAGATCTCAGCATGACTAACCCCTGCTGGCACAGAATAGCAGGCACAATGGTGGTGGGTAGACGCCAGTGGGGTTCCCTTCTTAGTGAATCAGTGCCTGATGCAATTGCCCTAAAGGAACACGTGTCCATTTGGAGAAACTACTTAAGGACCTGTGTGGCAGAGTCACAGGTCACCTGACCTCCCACTGGCATCACGGGACACCCTGTAAATTCTTCCTTCCCTCCCCTTTTGTGCCTGTTTCTGCCTCTTCCCAAGATGCCTTGAGAAAAACCCAGTCTAAGTTGAATGACTCCATCTTTTCCGTTTCTGTTTGATTAGTTTTGTCAGAACATGTTTCCCATTTATAAAAGATAATTTAATTTAAATGCAGATTTAATTTGACAAATTCATTGCATCGTTTAAGATGATAAACCCCAAAATTGGCCCTGAGTCTTGGCCCCCTCTCCCTTTCTGATCTTTGGTGATGGCTGTGATGGAGAAGTAAGGCTTTGATTATGGTTAAACACTTGGGCTGAACATGTTGCAGAAAATTCCTCACACTGCGTACGTTCAGAAGCTGGTGTGTGTAAAGAGTACAAATCTGTGTTTGACTTTTAGGTATTGCATTTACTGACTGTCATGCTCTCAGTGTTCACTTTAGTTCTTTGGCCCTAATTCCCTTACCTATAAAATGGGAGTAAGATACTTCCCTTAAAGTTTATGTAAAGATCAAATGAGCCAGGCATGGTAGTACATGCTTGTAATCTGGGCACTCAGGAGGCTGAGGCAGGAGGACCACCAATTCAAAGCCATCCTGGGTTACATAGTGAGATCCTGTCTCGAAATACCAAAAAAAAAAAATAATAATAATAATAAAAGAAATGACATGTCTCCTCCTTTTGCTTCAGGATGGCACTTTCTTGGTCCGAGATTGTTCCACAAAATCCAAGGCAGAACCCTATGTTTTGGTGGTGTTTTGTGGGAACAAAGTCTACAACGTGAAAATCCGCTTCCTAGAAAGGAACCAGCAGTTTGCACTGGGGACAGGACTCAGAGGAGACAAGGTGGGTGTAACCCAACTACTTCCCTTTCCCAGCAGAGTTTGGAGGGTGCTGGAGCCATGTCTCCATATTAAGGTAACCACAAAATAGGAGAAAAGACACCACACTGGAGAAGGAAGGTGAATATGACCCTTCCAGCCTTTTCTACCAACATCCCTGCACACATCAAGGGATGCTGCAGGCCACCAGACACCCCAGGCCAACATCCTGCTTTGCCCATTGGGGAAAACTCAGTCCACGAGAAGCATCTACATCCGGCCTCCCAGAAGGCTCCTGGGAAGCCCAGGCCATGCCCCTTCCCCTCCACTCCCCATGCTGAGCTCCCACTGCAGGAACTTCTGAAGCCTGCTAGCATTCATTGTATGCAGGGTTGTGACCCCTATTTGTGGACTCAGTCGTAGTGTTCAGTGCTAGGAAGAGAATGACCATCTTCAGTACACGTCTGCTGGAGGGAGGCTCAGTGAAAGAATGAGTGCATTAAAGCATGCATCAGTAACGATAAATAAATTGAGCATAAAGGAGGAGTTTCCACTGAGTACATGTGTACCAGGCTGAGTCCATCTGCATTATCTCGTTTTAACCTCAGTGATTCTGATGAAGTGATCTAGCTCAGATGTAAGGAACTGAAGCTTAGAAAACCCCATAGCCAAAGGCATAGACACAGTAGTGGAAGGGCAAGCACAGCCTGTTCTTCCAGCCCTTCTTTGATGAAAGAAGGAAAAAAGGAAGGATTCAAAGTCAGCATTTGCTAAGGATGTGAGCTTAGACAGGTTCCTTAACTTCTCTGGGCTCTAATTTGCTCAAATGAGAAAGTTCTTACTCTTGACTTCTGTAGTTTAGTGATGGCCATTCAACATCTCCAGGGCTTCAGTTCTGTCCCTTCCTACCTCAAATTCACAAGGACTTAGAATGTGCCTGTATTTGGTGCTGGAGATCTTTACAGAGGTCAAGGTTGAATGAGGTCATTGGAGGTGAACCCTCATCCAATACACCTGGTTTCTTTAAAAGAAGAGTAGACACACACAGAGGGAAGATCACGTGATGACGGGGAGAAGAGGGCATCTGCAAGCCAAGCAGACAAGCCTAGGAGGAAATAACCAAAACCTTGATCTTGGACTTCTGAACTCCTGAGTGTGAAGAGATTAATTTCTGTTGTCTCATGCATTCAGTCTGTAGTTCTTAGTTATGGCAACCATCCCAAAGGAATGTAACCCTAAACCAAACCTTCTACACCTTCTTCTAGCTCATAGTTTCTCATTTTAAGGAAAGCTTTATATGATTTTTAAATGTTTGGGTTTAAGAGTTCCTTTTCCTTGGAGAATCTGGGAAATGAACGACTTGAGGCCTATCATGTGCCAGTCACTCTACCAGAGGCTGTTTCATTTGCTTGCTCACGGGTCCTTGAAAAAGCTCTGGAAAGGACAAATTGTCCAGCCCATTTACTGGGGAGGAAACTGAGCCCATAACAAGGTCACAGCTTTAGTTCTAACATGCCACACTTTGATCTGCTAATAAAATAAAGGAAGCAGAGTGATTCTAATTACATCCTAATAGCATTTAATCAAAGTGTCAGCTATTGGAAGTAAGGGGTTGTCAGCTGAGGCAGCCCATAGAGTCCACCTTCAGCTTCCAGATGAGCTGCTCCAAGCTCATTAATGATTAATGTCACCAAGGCCCCCTAGCGAACTCAATGCCTTTTTAAAGAAACTCCTTTTTGTGTTAATACAAATCTCTGAGTTTCCTTTTCATGTATCTGTGGAACATACAGACGTATGTACTGTGTACAGGTTCCATCCTGGCAGGTGCTGTTGATGTGTCCATTTAACAGTCAGGGAAACTGAGGCACAGGCATGTTAAGTAAATAGCAACACTGGGATTTGATATATTTGATATACTTTGCAAAATTCTTGCCTTCCTCATATCAAATGCAAACGGTCTGCTTGAAAATGGCCTGCACACTGCAAATTGAAGAACAAGGTATTCCAAATGGAGCTTACTGTATGCTGGGCACTGGTGAGAAATCACAATTTGCCGGTGGATCTCCCACTTTACCTGGGAAGAAGCGGTGCTCTCTTGTAAGAGTGAGGGCTAGACAGCATTCCTGCATTCTGTCCCCTCATGCCTTTCACAGAGGAAGAATCTCACATCTTTTTAAAGACAGAGAGAGAGAGAGAGAGAGAGAGACTGAATACAAGCTAACTACTAGCTCCTCCATCTGTGCGCAGATAAATAGCATCACCACCCACCTCGCAGGAAACACATAATGAGAAGGAGGGTTTTCAGGGACAATCTTGAGTTCTTGTGCTTTTCAGGCATCTTGCAGACTTCAGCATTTAACCACCCAGAGGACACAGCAGCACCTAACTCATGGGAGTTATTCGAGCATGAGATGAGATAACATGAATACCCTGCTGGGTGCACTGCCTGCAAGCCCTTTCCTTAGGGCCATGAGCCCCAGGCAGAGGTGGTAACAAGATGGCTGCTGGAGGAGGTCCAGCCAAGCCCCAGAGAAGGCTCTGCAGGTCTACACTCTCCCCAGCATAGAGAGTGAGCAGAGAGTCACATGTGCTCCTAAAACAAAACCTGGGAAGCTCCTTTTGCTGCAATTAAGATCTTTGGTTATTTAATTACTCGGGTGGCTACAAATTCGTGTCTGATTTTAGGTTTGGGGATTACCCACTAAATTTTGTTTTCTGAGGTTACTGTCATAAGTTACCACAACAAAGGCAGCTTAAAAAGAGAAATTCATTTTCACACAGTACCAGAGGCCAGAAGTCCAAAATCCAGTTACCAGCAGGGAGGCACTCTGCCCCTGGAGGCTTTGGGGAGAATCCTTCCTTGCTTTCCCAGCCACTGGTGACTGTTGGCTTCCTTGGCTTTCTGGGCTTGTAGCTCATTTCTCTAGCATCTGCCTCTGTGGTCACATTGGCGCTCCTTTTTCTCTGGTTAAAATCTCCCTCTGCTTCTTATCTCATAAGGAGGCACACGATTGCTTCTAGGTCCTATCAGGATAACCTAAGATAAGCTCCTCCTTTCAAGATCCTTAACTCAATGGCATATTTTACAATTTAAACTATATTAACTCTTTTAATAAGGAAATATTCACAGATTCTGGATCTAGGACTGGACATATCAGGGAAAGACACCATTCAGCCCACTATCAGCAATTACTTTTTTATTGGCCAAGCATTAATTTTATGCCTGTGCTATGCTAGACTCTGCTCTATGCTGGGAACACAGAATGGAGTAGAGTAGAGTCCCTGCCATCCAGAGGACCCCCTATCCATCTGTGGCTGTCTGTGCAGGCACCTAAGCAAGAGTAAGACTGGTAGAATGCCTACCCAGGTCTGCTAGGGAATCACTTGCTCTAAACCTACAGAGTTGTACCGGCCACCTAACGCCAACCAAACATCCATAAGTCATGTTTGTCCATCTTTCTGTGAAAGCTCAGAGAAGAAAGCAGTGCCAATTACCAGACATTTCCCTGCTTGGAAAATGTCTATAGTAGGCTTGCTTGGTAACTTAAATTTTTAAGACCAAGAGACAGAGATGAACAACGAACCCATAGCTTTGTTTCACCTTTCTCCTGTCTGCTTTTCTCTCCCTCCCTATCTCTGTGTCTCTCCTCTTCCCCTCTTTTTTCCCTCCCCTCTCACTCCCATATGTGAACATAATCAGACTTACTTGCTTTCCTGGCAAGGAAAAACACAAACTCTTTAAACAGACTTTAAGATCTAACATTAGGATGACATTTGCTATCCCCCTGAAAAAAATAATTTACAACAAAAATAAAAGCTTAATTATAATCTTTTCTAAAAGTCTCTTTAGGGCAATATTTCAGTTGTGGGCAAATTACTAAGCCAACAATAAGAAATGACAACAGGATGAATTGCACCTGCCTTGCTTTCAATTACTTGTTAAAATTACAAGTTCACATAAAATATCATCCATGCAGCAGATTATTAAAACAATTAATATGGAGTCAGTTGTTTCAGAAAACCCTGAGGAAACAGGAATGAAAATAGGAAGCAAGTATGTTCCCTCTGAAGACTGACACCAGGAAATTTTTCCTTTTAGCCAGTTCTGGAGAAGGCTCTGTATAAAATGTTTCTTTACGTAGATCATTTTGTTTTGTAAATGTGAATCAAGATGAAGAAAACTTTGGCCTTGGTTTACAACTGGAAATGAATGCAGAAAGTCCCTTTCCTCCTAAAGGCTGACCATTAATAGTCTATAAACCCCTCTGATGGTTACATTGCTCTTCTGTGATGTTCTTGGCAAACCTGGAAGGAAGGGAAGAAGGAAGAGAAGGACAGATGGAGGAGTAGTGATGTCTGACACCTACCAATCACTCACTGTGCTATACATGAGTTGTGCCTTTTTCTAAATACTGTCTACAGATCAGCCAAATTAATCCTCACAGCGAACCTCAGAGGCAGGTCCTATTGTGACGATCATGAGTCACAGATAGAGGAACTGAGATGCAAAACATGTAAGAAATTTGCTCCTGGTCACTCAGCTAGTGGATGGGAGAGCCAGGCTTTGAGCTCAGGTATTCAGACTCTGCAGGGCCTTCACTTCTGACTGCTCTGCTATGGCAGAACAACTACTACCTCCATGGGACAATGAGGAAGTCACTTTACCTAATCCTGGGTAGGAACTCTTGTAGACTGCATACCTAGTTGGGATGGTGCTATGGTATAAATGTTCATACCCTCCTGCAAAAAAACCTCATATGTGGAAATCTTAATTCCAGTAGTGATGGTATCAGAAGGTGAGGCCTTTGGGGGTGATTGGGTCATGAGGGTGGAGTTCTCACGAATGGGGCTGGTGTTATTAAAGAGACTCTCAGCCTTTCCACCATGTGGGACCACAGTGAGAAAGTTCTATCTATAAACTAGAAAGTAGGCCCTTGTCAGATACCAATCAATCTGCCTTGATCTTAGACTTCCCAGCCTCTGAAACTGTGACAAACTGTTGTTTATAAAGTACCAAGCTTATAGCATTTTATTATAGCAGCCTGAATGGACTGAGATAGACTGAAACATAGGTTGCCTTCTTGAAAACTCTGCCACAGGTCCAGTAAAAGACTCAGAGAGGGCAAGTCACTTACAGGTGTCCTTCGGAGTAAAAAGCCAACTCACATGTGCCTAGGTAGGAGAGGAGAGAGATATGTTGTCTATGTCACCAAAAAGGACAAGAATGAAGTAGATAGAGGAACTGGCTAATATCAGAAAGTCATCCCTCCACATTGCCTTCCCACGTTTTTGCCCCAGTGTGATGTGTGTTTGCTCTCATGTCCTCCACATGACAGGAAGGAGGTGGGCGATGGCCTTGGCAGCGCCAGGGCTCTGGATTTTAACTTATTTGCCTTCACCAAAACAGGACATTCTTCACAGCAGCTGGGTGACCTGGTGAGGCTGTCAAGCCCTAAGCTTGCATAAACACCCATCATAATTTTCAGAAAAGTCATTTTCACAGCATGTATCCTTAAATGAAATCATCTATTTGTATAGAGATTGTTTTCCTTAAGGCACTCTCTGTAAGGACAGACCCCCTGTCTAGTTCATTCCCTGCTGGATATCCCTACAGGGATATCCAAGTCTGTCTGTACCTTGGAAACCCTGGCATAGGGAGGAACAGACAAAACTAAATCAGAGTGGAAGGCATGCTCCCAGTAGCCTCCTTCCTTCAGGCCATATCATGGTCCACCCTGCTTTTTTGGCACACCAGAGGTCACAAGCCATGAGCAAAGGTCTAAAAAAAAAAAATAATGAGGCTTTATTCCTGGCCCTGACCCCTAGCTCATGACTCTGAGCAAGTCAGTCCACTTCTCTGAGTTGCAATTCCCATAGCTCTTTAGGAAAGGACATTCTAAATGCCCTGCTCACCTCACAGACTTGCAAAGAAGTGTGGAAGTTGTCTTAAGGCCTGGGCAGCAAGAGGAGCAAGCTCTTCCTATTACTTCCCAATCCCCGCCCCCCCCCCAGGAACTCCTAAGAGCTCACCCAGAGTTACCTATGTCACCAGTCTTCCAGTCACACCTGTCCTTGTCTGGATGCTCTACCTCCAATATCCCTAAACCCCCCTTGTCTGTTTATCTGGAACCACCTACAGTGTGAAGCCCTGAGCAGTACACTTCCTTCTTCCCTAAACCAGACATAATCTTACTTTCCATTAAACACCACGGCACTCTATCTGCATCTCCAGAAACACTGGAACCTGCAGTCACCTCACTACTTCCCAGGAAGCCCAGGGAGGAAAGCCAAATAGGCTAAGGACCAGTGGTCTGTGGTCACCATGGATCCTTCTGCATTTGCTAGATTTCCTTAGAGCAAGGGACGTTCCCACTAGTGTACTGCCTTCAAGCCTGGCTCTTCTCTATTTTACTTGGTCAGTTACAGGCACGGTCAGGTAGGCACTGGAGTTGCCCAGGGCTGTCGGCTGCTGTGTCATCAGCCCATCTGAGTCACCCAGGGTGGGAAGGGTGGGCAGCTACAGACTAGACCTTGACCAAATTTAAATAGCTGCCTCAGGGTTTTCTTATGGTCTCCAGGAGCACGTCTATTATCCCTTGTCATCTCCTTGCTCTTATCACTCTCCCTTCAAGAGTTCATTGCCACATCCTTTTTTAAAAATCACTGTCTGGCATGTCTTTATAACACAAAGCCCATCAAATGAGTTCACCTCTTTCCTGAGTAAAATAGAGCACCCTAGCTGCACTTTCACCTAAAGACACAAACTGTGCTAAAAACGTACCAGATTAGTACGTTCTCCCTCATATGTGGACTTTAGATCTAAAACAAATGCAGTAATATCACTGGACATGGGTCACACACTAAGGGGAGAGCACATACAGGAGGAATAGGGAAAGGCAGGAAACCCAAAACTTGAAAGTGTTTGATGTGCCCACTGTAAAGGAGAGAATAAAGTAATCTTAAACTGACAGAGGCCACTATGGGAAGGGGACCGGGAAGTAGTGAAGAGGTCTGGCAGAGATGAACCAATGTGGGTTGTAACATACATGTGCATGGAAGCAATGCTAGGAATCTCTCTGTATAGCTATCTTTATCTCAAGCTAGCAAAAATGCTATGTCTTTCTTATCACTTATGTCTTCTCTTCAACAAAATTGGAGAAGAGGGCAGAACAGGTTCTGCCTGGAAGCGAGGCGGTGGTGGGGAGAGGGAGGGGGCAGGAGGCAGCAGGGAGAGATGGCCCAAACAATGTATGCACATATGAATAAATGAATAAACAATAAAAAAATGAAAATCACCGATTAGCCAGGTGCTGATGGCTCACTCCTGTAATCTTAGCTACCTAGGAAGCTCCAAAAACAGAACTAAGCAAAACGACAAAAAAAAACCATCAACTTTCTTTCTGTATTTCAGAAGTTTGATTCTGTGGAAGACATCATCGAACACTACAAGTCTTTTCCTATTATATTAATTGATGGGAAAGATAAAACAGGGGTCCACAGGGAGCAATGTCACCTAACCCAACCACTCCCTGTCGCCAGACACTTCTCACCCTCACCGTGGTAGCCTGCCTCATCCTCATTTCATCTTCAGTTCAGTGGATTCAAGGCTTACAGCTGTTTGCATCTATTTCTAAAGTTCATTTTCTGTGTCTTCAAGGGATGATGGTTGTTTTTGACTTGTTACAAAAGGAAAACATTCTGTCATGGAAATGGGTAAATGAATCATGGCTCTGAAAACTTAAACCACATAGGAAATATTTATGAATTGCAAAAATAAAAACCAGGTTTTTAAAAGTATCTTCTAAAGTAAAAACTAAAAACATGGTTATTGTGCTCATGAGCTGGTGTGGGATCAACACGAGAATCCCACAGCAGTGCTCTCCGCAGGGCCCTGGGCTGCCTTTCTTTATTTCAGAGCTGCCTTTGGGTGATTCCTTACGATAAAGGTGTTGATGGATGTTAGCCCTATTTTATTTGTAATCCTAGAAATTCGACACAGAGAAGAAACGTGGCATGGGAAAGTAGCGCACTCATGAATGCCCACACAAGCACAAAGGAAGTGCTTTGGCTATGGTGTAAGATGGCCACAGGACCACTCTCCAGCAGACTGGGTATAGGAATTTGAAGCCAAATGGAATTGGCGAATTCATAGTAAGAAATTCAGAAGATCCCAGCCCAACCCTAAAGCAAGCATAGAGCTGAATGAAAGTAAAAGACAGAAGTGCAAAACAGTCTCAATTATGAAATTCTGTTCCTGGCAAGATCACTACACAGATCAGGTCTCAAAAGTGAAGAAGATGGCCAAGCACCAGTAGCTCACACCAGTAGTCCTAGCTACTCAGGAAGCAGAGATCAGGAGGATTGAGGTTGGAGGCCAATGCAGACAACAAAATTGAGATTCTATTTCCAAAATACCCAACACAATAAAAAGGGCCAGTGGAGTGGCTCAAGTGGTAGAGCACAAAGTGTGAAGTCCTGAGTTCAAACCCCAGTACTGATTAAAAAAAATGAAGAGAATTTAATTTTCCTCCTATTTTGTAAGACAGATGAGGGAGGTATTCAAGGAAGGTATTGCTCACACTCAATGAAAGAAGCAAGCCCAGGCTGTAACCCATTTTTCCTGGCTCCACGTAAGTGCATGTGCCCCAGCACATTCTCTGCCCTACCCTGAGGGATTTTATAATCAAGTCAGAAAGCTAGATTTAAAAAGAAAGAGAGAGAAACAATTTGAAAATACAGACTTACCCATCTTACAATATATAAATAAATTCATGTAGTGGAGTTAAGATTTTTTTAAATAGGTACTATTGAAATTAATGATATATCATGACTTCAAATATTATCAAAGCCTCCATGAGGTATTTATGAAACTGGAGCTTTAATGCAGAAGTAAGCCAAATAGAACAAAAAGCAAAGAATCAAGAAGAAACAACACAACAATAACAATGACAATCTCTTCTCTCAAACAGCAGACAATGAGCTGTCTGGGGAAAGCTCTGTAGCTACCTATAAACACTGCTCAGGTGCTGTCCTTCACACGGTCAGTGAGAAGTCAGGTGTCAAGTTAGATCAGGTGCAGTTGATGAGGAACCCCTCCTGAACTTGGATTTGGGGGAGAATGAACAGAGGTGGGCAGGGAGACCCTTCAGGTTGCACCTGTGAGAGGAAAGGGATGAGAGAGTAGGTAAAACACAAGATTGAACCTTGTGGTAAGATCCAGAGCAAAGACTGCCCAGAGAGGAGGCTCTCACTGGGCCTCAGTGCCAGTGACAGGACTTACCTGGAAGAAAATATGTCCTTCAAGCACCGTGGCAGGCCCAGAAGGCACTGCCCATGGAGGCTGTCCACTCTTTGGCCCAAGTCCCCCACCTCCATACCTGCCAAGCAACAGTCCCACATTTACTGTTTTACAGGGCTGATTGTATTAAGGACATTTTGCTTGTAATGGATTCTTATTAAAGAATAGGACCTATAAATTTTAACTCTATTTGAATCTGACAACAGTTCTGTACATAAGACAGGACAGCTATTCCAAACATATTTTATAATTTAGGAAATTGCATCTCATTGATCAAAATCTGACAGTGACATAGTTGTGACTATCATCAGGGTTCTCATACATAACTCTTCTCTGTTCACCTGCTTCACTGGATTCCCTATAGCAACGTCAATGATGTGGGCTTTGCATACCCAAATTTTAAAGCGTTTTAATCCCTGTTCAGATATTACGGCATTCCCAGCTTAAAGGTGTCACTGAATGCTTAGCCTCAATGGAGTAGTAGAATTTTACATATATCTGATTATAGAAGCTGTGCATTCCAGAAACTGCCTTTGGACTAAATAATCTCCACGAGCCTATACCCCTTCATCTTTAATTAAGTCTTATCCTAGGACCTATTTGCATACTGCATTGCTAGGCATTATTGTAGATGCTGGAAATACAGAAGCAAACAATCGAGAGAGACAGATAAGTGTAGTTTCCATTGTCTCTTGTATTTCCATTTTAACGCTCATCACTGAGTACTTGTGGAGTGAGGCCAAAGTTGTATATTTTAATGAAGTTCCTTTGAGATGGCTTGGAAAGTACTGAACCGGGAAATTTTAAATTATCCTCAACTTATTTCATGGAAAACTTCCCCTCTTGGTGAGTGAGTCTGTGTGTGTGTGTGTTTTAGTAATGGCATCATAATTTTAATCAGTTAAATTTGTTCCAATTACTAGGGAAAAATCAAACTTACCCATGGTTAAATATAGCCCATTATCAAGTGGGTGCACGTATACAGATTTTTATGCTTGCTTATATTGTATATGGTTAGCATCATATTTGTGTATTTATTTTTGTCTGTAGTAATATCTGTTCCAGATATATTTGCTGTTTCTGAACATTTGTGATTCATTGATTAATAGCTGTGCTAACTTAGATGAAAGCAAGTATGTAATTGTGTTTAATATCTCTATAACTGAATATTAAAGAAAAGAATTCAAAACGTAGCTTAATTTTTTTTTGATGCTCTATTTTACCTAAAGCACTTATGAAATCATATTTAGGCTAGATTTAAGGAAAAAATTCTAAAATTATTATTCACATATAAACACTACTAGATTCTAGGGATAAAGATAAAAGCCACAATCCCTGTGACTGAGAGTTCAAAGCCAGGCAGGCAAAATACACATGTAATGTCAGGATACACCAGTGAGGTCTCCTTGTGACTCTGATTTGCATTTCCCTGATAATTAGTGATACTGAGCACTTTTCATATGCCTATTGTCCATCATCAAAACACAAAAGAGAACAAGTGTTGGTAGGGATGTAGATCAATGGAAACCTGTGCCCTGTTGATGGAAATGTCAAATGGTATAGACACACTAGAGAAGACAGTAAAGAGTTGTCTCAAAATAATTAAAAATAGAATTATCATAAGCTCAGCAACCCCACTTCTGGGAACATATTCAAAGACGTGAAATCAGGATCTCAAGCCAAGACACAGAAACAACCTAAATGCTCGTCAGTAGATAAGTACATAAAGAAAACGTGTTCTAAGCATAAAAGGGAATACTACTCGGTCTTAAGAAAGAAAGCAAGCCTGCTCTTTGTGACATCACGGGGTGGATCTGGAGGACATTGTGCTAAGTGAAATAAGCTGAACACAGACAGGTTCGGTGGCTGCCGGGGGCAGAAGTTGTTGGTGGGTATGAGGTTTTAGTTACACGGATAAGTTCTAGAGATCTGCTGTAGAACACTGGGCCTAGAGTCAACAATAATGTTCAGTTCAAAGATTGTCAGAGTGGGTCTCGTGTTAAGTATTCTTACCATAAAAGGTAGAGGAGCAGGAGGAAAGCTTTGGAGGCCATGGTTTGTGGCGATTGTTTTATAAGTGTATACACCTCTCCAAATTCATCAAATCCTATATGTTAAGCATACCCTGTTTTTTATGTGTCAGCTATACCTCAATAAAGCTGTTTTTTTTAAAGAAGATACAGGTGTCATCAAAATCATTTAATACCCTCCCTTGTACCCCTGGGGGGGATGGGAGTGGGCAAGAACAGAAGCAAGGGGAAGATGTAGTCAGGGAAGGCTTCCCAGAGATGGTCTGGTAGGGATTTAAAGGATCCTCCTGGAACACAGCTTTCAAAGTACAAGTCCTTTGTCAGTCTGGTTTTGGGTACTCCTGTCTGAAAGGCCCTGTTCTAGACCATGGGGACTCAAGCAATAACCACCAGCTGAAGGAACAGGAGAAGACAATGGAGATGACGTCCCTTGGGATTTATTAAGTGATGCTGGGGAAACTGGCTCACCACCCAGGAAACAATTTCAATTATGCTTCTACTTCAAATCATATACAAAAGTATGTTGTGCATGAATCAAATAGCTAAAAGCAAAAAAAAATTTGTAACTGAGTTGTACATTTTCATCTACTATTTAAACATTTTTATGACTTTGGGATGAAAACATAAATCATAAAAGAAAGACTGATGGATTCATTACACCAAAATTGTAAATGCTTGTTAAAGTAAGACAAAGCCAAAGGCAATAAAACATTCTAATGTCTATTAGAAAAAGACAGAATGAGTAATTCACACACAAAAAGAAAACTGTACCCTGAAAGTTAAAATATTCAGCCTTACCAGTCGTGTGGTTATCACAATAGGACAGATGAGATGTCAGTGATATCCTTGTAAGGAGAATTAAATAAGAGACAAGCTGATTTCCATTGCAAAACTCTGCAAAGGCTTGGGGAGTGCACCATTACTTGCCCCCAAAGGCTAGTAAAGGAGGAGTTTATATTAACAGTCAGTGTAAGAATTTTCTAAAATCAACACAGTCCCTCCCCCAGGAACCAGAGATATGACTGTAGACTACCTATGGTGGCCATTGAGAGACTACACCTCCAGGAAATATTTCAAATTAGGCTGATACAAATATAAGATACAGCTGAAAATGTGAGCTAAAGACAGCTGAGGGCTGGTAAAGAAGTTCAAGTGATAAAGTGCCTGCCTAGCAAGCATAAGGCCCTGAGTTCAAACCCCAGTACCACCAAAAAGAGAGAAAGAGAGAGACTGTGC